GAAATAGTTATTTGTAAATAAAGAGATGGAAAGCATCTATAAGATGAATTACCAAACAGTACTTTTTTCTTCCGAGGTTTAGGGGGTTAATTGGGCTAAGTTAGTATAATTTCGGAATATTTTGAAAATGAGAAGGTATATTTCCGTGGTCTGACGGTATACTCTATCGATAAGTCCTCAGCACGTGTTGTTCGTTTGATTTGGAATTCAGAATTTAGTTAATTTCTTTCAATATAAAATACAAATGGCTGAAGAAGGACCACCCGAGGCAAGCATTGACTTTGTGCCCGCGTTGTGCTTTGTGCCACGCGGAGTTGCCAAGGATCGACCCGATAAGATTGTGCTGACACAAGGCGAGTTGGCCAGAATCATTGGCGCCACGCAGCAGGAGCTGGAGGAGGACAGTGAGGACGATGACGAAGGTGATGAGACAGCAGCTGGTGACGCAGGCATGGACGTGGATGAGGACAATGACGATGCCAATAGCGAGAATCGCCATCCACAGGACGAGTTCGATTTCAATGCGTATGACAACGAGGAAAACGCGACGGTCACGAGTTTGGCCAACATTGTAGATGCCGGTGAGCAGGTGCCCGATGAAGACGAAGACTCTGAGGCTGAGGACGAAGTTATAAAGCCCAGTGACAACTTGATTCTGGTGGGTCATGTCCAGGATGACGCCGCCTCGATGGAGGTGTGGGTGTTCAATCAGGAGGAGGAGGCGCTCTACACACACCACGACTTCCTGTTGCCCAGTTTTCCCCTCTGCATCGAGTGGATGAACCACGATGCGGGCAGCGATAAGCCGGGCAACATGTGCGCCATTGGATGCATGGATCCGATCATAACGGTGTGGGACCTGGATATTCAGGACTCCATCGAGCCCACGTTTAAGCTGGGCTCCAAGGGCAGCCGCAAACATCAGAAGGAGCAGTATGGCCACAAGGATGCCGTTCTGGATCTCTCCTGGAACCGTAACTTCGAGCACATCTTGGCCAGTGGCTCGGTCGATCGGACACTGATTCTCTGGGATATGGATGAGGGACAACCGCACACTACCATCACTGCTTTTGAGGAGAAAGTCCAGACTCTGGAGTTCCACCCCACAGAGGCTCAGAGCATTCTAACCGGGTGTTCTGACGGATACGTGCGGCTCTTCGATTGCCGCGACGCTGAGGCCGTGAACTCGTCCAGCATCCAATGGAAGGTAGATGGCGAGGTGGAGAAGGTTCTCTGGCACCCCACCCAAACAGACTATTTCATCATTGGCACGAACGACGGCAGTCTCCACTATGCCGATAAGCGCACACCCAACCAAATCCTGTGGTCCGTAAAAGCCCACAACGAGGAAATCTCCGGGGTGTGCTTCAATAACCAAACGCCCAATCTGTTGACTTCCACCTCCACAGAGGGCACTCTGAAAGTGTGGAACTTCAGCGGCACAGAGGCGAAGCATGTCTACGAGCACGAGTTCAACATGGGTCGTCTGCAGTGCATGCGACAGTGCCCGGAGGACCCATACACGCTTGCATTCGGGGGAGAGAAGCCTCCGCGGTGTGCTATCTACAACATAAAGAACTCCGTAGCAGTGCGTCGAACATTTGGTATTGACGATTCAGAGTCGTAGATTCTTGGCGACGTGGCGTATTTGCTGAGTGTATATGATGATGTTTTTGCATTCACGATTTAAGAACATTTTAAAAATATATTATATGACTAATGTATAAGGATCCAAAACGTATCAGTTGTTTAAACTTTAACCGTATCTAAAACGTAGTGTAGAAAGAAATGTACAGAAATTATATTAGATATATTGCTATGTTTTTGCAACTCGTACCTGTGGACTGGGGAAAACTAGCTATTCCAGTCAATGGCATTACAACCCAATGCTCGAACTACTTGATCTGCACTTTCGTTACAATATAAATTAAGAAACTGAGGTGGATTTTAATTTGATAATCAGACACTTGCTAACTTTATAATATGATACAAATCATCTTAATCCTAAACACTACGTTACGTATGTATGTATATGGACTAAACTAAGTATGACCTAACTCTTAAAGAGTCCGACGCACATAAGGAGATTGCGGCGGGTGAAGTGAAGGGTGACAAAGGGAGAGTTCTTGCTGGGGAACGTGCGCAACAGGTAGACATCCTCATCGTTCTCATCCTGATGGTGCGACACCGTAATGTGGTTGCTGATGTAGTCATCGGTGACCTTGTGGAAGTCCCAGAGGGTTAGATTGTTGTCCAGACCAGCAGCAGCCAAGAGCGTTCCATCTCGGCTGAAGGTTATCGTCGTCACGGTGCTGGTATGTCTTAGTAAAGTGGTCACGAGGGAACCATTTGACAAGTCCCAGATAATGATGGTGCTGTCGATGGAGCCTGAGGCTAGATAGCGTCCGCAGGTGGAGAAGGCAAGTGCACTGACAGACCCCTTGTGACCCGTCATTAGACGGACCGACTGGCCGGTCATGTTGTCCCAGAGACGCACAGTCCGGTCGCTGGAGCCAGTGGCCACATAATTTGAATTTGGATGAAACTGGACACAGTCCACGTCGGATAGGTGGCCAACGAAGACTCGAAGCGCCTGATTGGAGTCTGTCGCCCACAAGCGCGCCGTTTTGTCGTAAGAACAAGATACAAAATAATATCCATGCGGGGCAAATCGAACATCCCAGACGGGGTAGACATGGCCGCGGTAGGTCACAACACACGACCACGTAAGAAGAGACCACAGTCGTATGGTGCTGTCTTCGGAGCATGATAACAGCAGGTTCATTTCGGGCGCAAAGGCACACCGATATACAGGCCCTGTGTGGCCCAGGAAGTTTCTTGTTGTTTCCCCACTGCGGTCGTCCAGCATGCGCACATTAATATCGGCAGACTCCTTGTCAAGTTCCCTCAGAGCATCGGCTTCCTTGAGGGTTCGCAGTTTGGCGGGCGTCAGGGACCATATCCTGATGCTGGAGTCAGCAAATCCACAGGCCACCATCGTGGAATCCTCTGAGATCTCGGCACATGTGACGCCCTGTTGGGAGTTAAGTACCGTGTAGAAGACAGCGGAGGGAAGCTGATCTCGGCCGAGGGCCATGCGTTTGCTCGCTTCCCTCAGGGCCTTTAGCTTCAGCAACTTGTCGGAGTCCTTGAGCTCAGGCAGGGGTATCCTGTCTATGGAGGGAGCATTGGGATCTGACTTGGACTTCTTGGACAGTAACGGATCCTTTTTGGGCTTTTTCTTCTTGGGACGATCTGGTGCATCCGGATCATCGTCTTCCTCTTCTGGGGCCGGCGCCGGAGTGGTCAGCGTTTGAAAGTCCACCTCCTTGAGCAGGCCATAGTACACCCTCATCTTGTTGTCCTGCCTCTTGGCCTCTCCGATGTGGGAACCTGCAGTGGCAACGCATTGCAGCTTGTTCCGAGCCATGCCTTCATAGGTATCGAAATGTAAGTACTTGGACACGATGTCAGCCACCACCTCCTGCCTGCGGTCCTGGATGTGCCGCTTAAACAGCGAGTGGGAGTCCCTCGACATCCGAATGACAAACTTGTCCATTTCCATAGCAACGACCAGATCGTTATCCAGCAGCTCCTCCGGCTTGGACAGCATCAGCAAGTTGAACAGCCCCTCTATGTAGTAGCCGTCGAGGTCGGATTTGTACTTCTCGATGAAAGCGCGCGCCTTTTCCTTTTGCCCGATGGCAAGCATCTTGAAATAGATTTGCACCAATATGGGATACAGTACCATAGACAGCTCGTGCTTATATATGTCCAATGAATCCTCCACAAATGAGCGCAGATCTTCGTACGCCTGCTCGTGCTGCTGGGCGTCAAAGCTGTCGTCTCCAATGAATTTGGCCAATGCCTCCGCCGCATTGGCCTCAGTCACCGCCGTTTGTTTTGTTTCCACTGAAGCAGACCGAGGAGGCTCTCTCTCACCGTCGCCCAGCCCCAAAGCAGCGCCGAGAACCTGCTGTACATCTGTTTCGCTGATTGCCGACAGTTCCGCAGCGCTCACATTGGCCTCCTGACAGAGCAGCTCCTCTGTGCTCTTCAGCTGGTACTTTTTGAGGAGTTTCAGCAGACAGAGCATCTCGCGCTTGTCGTGGGACCGCTGGATGCCATTTCCTCCATTTGAGTTGCTCATTTCAAGGCTCATTTCAAGAAAAAATTTATTTTTTTACGCTTCTCTACTATTTTGTTTAGCCGTCTTTTTTGTTGGTATTTAATCGCTTCATTGGTCGCATCACGATGAATCCGCATTGACCAGGTACTTCAGTTCGATGACGGGGGCTGTCGGTATTTTCTTGAAAATAGTATGTTCTGTGTGGCTGTCGATATTTGTTGATGATTGTTGCTATCGATGGTTGTTGATGAGGGCATGCAAGGTGTTGCATTGGAAATGTTCTTATAATTTGCATCCATCTTATAAATGCATGGATTGAAGTTGAAGTGTAGGCGTAATTGCAAAATCAACAGAAGGCTGCCCCTGAAAGTAGGAACAACAGAAGGTTGCTCATCAAGATGACTTCCGATGGCACCAAGTTAACCCGACCTGAATTAATCCAGTGTGTTTCGATTCAGAACTCCAAATTAGCCTCATTCATATATTTGGACAGAAGAGTCTTTTTGGAGAGCAATAACTCCTCAAAGTCTTTCAAACAATGGACAATTTTATATTTTTTCCTGATAATAGCATGTTGTTGGCAGAAGAAGATTTCGAGTTCCCCATTGTCTAGACTCTAGAGCGTTGCAAACATCGCAGATGTTGGTGTTTCTGGCTTTGATATTGTGTACAAAAACGTTATCATAGGTTCGGTTAATTAACAGTCTAGTTATGACCCCTATGTTTTTTACACTTCAGTCGAGAGCCCAGTGCCATGGTTTGACAACAATTTCATTATAAATTGAAGCAAAATTTACTCATTGTTCCAGAATTCCTATTCTGCAAAATCTAGGAAATTGATTTAAGATTTACGGTATATTTTGAAAATGTTCGCTATTTAGGTATATTTTTGAGGGTGAGGCGGTATATTTTATCGAAGGGTCCCGCGGTCACAATGGTAAAGTAACAACAAGAAAATGACGAAGAGAGTTATTATAAAAAAGGTAAAAACAAGCGTTAATGACAGTAAATGTTATGCTTTCGCATTGCTGTACGAATAACAAGCATATTTTGTATATAGGCCTAACTTGCTATTGCCTATTTTAGTGTATCTGTGTGCTGTCCTTCCTCCAACTCCTTGAACTTTGACTCTACGCTCCACGAAATCTAACCCTTGTACCTGTAGATTGTGTTGTTTGTCTCTGTTTGACCAAAAAATGAATGAAAATGATGATGCGGTAGGTGTGTTATTGAATAACCACAAATATGTATAAAATTCCCCTTGACACTCGCAGAAAAAGGTCTCCGTCAAGCGCTCTTCCGTGTCGGGGGATCAGCTGGATCCTGGTCAGCCTCGATACAGCTACTCGGGACGCATGCAAGAGCTGATAGAGGGCTACAATTCCGCGGTCCAGTTGCTGGTGCCCAAGTGGCCGTGGTTCTTCTATCCCGGATACCTGACATACGCAGTATATTGGCGGTACGCCAAATACTACAAGGGCAAGTTTCATTTAACGCCCATACCGAATCGTCTCTACGAACTGCTCATTAAAAATGAGTTGATCAAGTCGGAGCACTTGGTATTCGCCAGCCAGGATGTGTACGATAGCTATGCCGAGTCGCCAGACGTTAACTTTGTCAACCTGATTATCCGCGGCGGCAGTGCAACGATCAACCAGCCAGCATCAAGCAATTCAGCGACCCAATCAGTCATTCAGCAAATGCTGCAGGAAGCTCCACACACAATAGTGGCGCAGATATTGCCGGTAGCTCAGTGTCAAGTCAACTGTCTTTATGTCCAGGTCCGTTTCAGTTTATAAATCAATTCAATAAGATAAGTGAATGTTCCTATTTATTGTTATAGGAAAACTTCTATAGCAATGTCCTGGACCGGTTTCGTGTTCGCTCCAATTGCTGGATCAAACTGGAACGCTTTGCCGATGAACAAACCATACCCGCCATAGCCACCAAATCTCATGTGTATATGCTGAGCAATCCCCACGAGCTGCCTGCCGAGGTGACGGAGCTCATCCTGAACAACTATTTTAATACGCCGCGTCTACTGCATCGCGGCCACACCTATCGCATCGAGGTGAACGCCAAACTGGTTGGCACCGCTGCCTATGCCCACTATTATCTGATATTCGCGTATCTGCGGCAGGTCCACTTCCGCTGCATTCATCTGGAGACAAAGAGCAGCGAGTTCGAGCTACAGGCGGTTGTGGCTAAGGGTCTTAGCAACCTGGTGCAAGTTCCCAATGCCCATAACTTCCTCCCACGACAAGTTCTTGACAACTTTGCCATCGTTGAAAACTATCCGAGTGGGCTGCGAAAGCCTTACCAGCTGCTGCGATCATCGGTTGACGCGTTTCTGCCCAAGAAGTCGGCCTGCCTGTCTTCCAAGCACATCTTCCCAGTGTTTCTAGTCCAGGGTGAGCGGGGATCTGGCAAAACTAAGCTCATAAACGCCGTCGCCCAGGAGCTGGGAATGCACTTGTATGGAGCGGATTGTGCCGAGATCGTTTCGCAGGTTCCCTCGCACACAGAGATGAAGCTGAAGGCGGTCTTCGCCAAGAGCCAAGTCACTGAGCCACTGTTGATCTGCTTCCATAATTTCGAGGTAATTATATACAGCCTTTCAGGTGAGAAAAAGATGAATCCTAAAATGTAATCCTTCAGATATTCGGCATCGACAATGAAGGCAACGAGGACCTGCGTCTGCTTTCGGCCTTCCATGTCCAAGTACAAGAGCTGTTCTCTCGGGATCGAAAGCATCCTGTAGTTGTAGTTGCTCTAACCAGCGACAAGCACCTGAAGCCCATGATTCAGAGCTTGTTCCTTGAGGTAATAAGCATTGAAATGCCGAGCAAGGAAGAGCGCTTTCAGATCCTCCGTTGGATGCACGCCCGTGAGACTTTCAACGATATGATCTACAATCAAAAGGCCATCGACCGGTTGCCCTTGTTTTCGAGAGAAAACCAATCACAGTTCATGGCGCGCCTGTGTCCGAGTTGGAGGCAGACAATGGGCGTGCTGCAGGAAGTGGCGGCCAAATCACAGGGATTTCTTCTGGGTGACCTGCAATTGCTGTACGACAGTGCCATTCGCATGAAAAGCCGACAGAGGCTGGGTAGGAGCTGCCTTGACCTGTCCCACTTTTCCAAGAACTTGAGCGACATGCAGAGCTCGTTTGCGGATAGTTTGGGTGCGCCAAAGGTACCCAAGGTCTATTGGTCGGACATTGGCGGTCTGGCCAAACTGAAGGATGAGATTCAGAGCAGCATAGGACTGCCGCTAAAGCACGTTCACCTCATGGGCAAGAACCTACGGCGCTCCGGCATTCTGCTCTACGGGCCGCCTGGAACGGGCAAAACCTTGGTTGCCAAGGCCGTGGCCACTGAATGCAACCTGAGCTTCCTTTCAGTGCAGGGACCCGAGTTGCTCAACATGTACGTGGGCCAGAGTGAACAGAATGTGCGCGAGGTCTTTTCCCGTGCTCGCTCCGCGGCCCCCTGTGTGCTCTTCCTCGACGAGCTGGACTCCCTGGCACCAAATCGAGGTGTGGCGGGCGATTCTGGCGGTGTTATGGATCGCGTTGTGTCGCAGCTTCTTGCTGAGATGGACGGCATGAGCGATGGCGACTCCAGTAAGCCCATTTTCATACTTGCTGCCACCAATCGTCCGGACTTGATTGATCCCGCTCTGCTACGACCCGGTCGCTTCGATAAGCTCTTCTACGTGGGGCCCTGCTCTACGTCCGATGACAAAGCAGCTGTTTTGCGAGCGCAAACTCAGCGCTTTGTCCTGGACTCTGGTGTCAATATAGACGAGATTGCCGAGCGCCTGAAGAACGATATGAGTGGCGCAGACCTGTACTCCATCTGCTCGAATGCCTGGCTATCGGCTGTGAGACGCACCATTGACCGGCACCTGAGTGGAAAGCTCTCGGAAGAGGAACTCCTGCCTGAGACCGTAATCGTGGAGTCTGAAGACTTCACCAAGTCTTTCAACAAATTTGTGCCTTCGATAAGCAGAACGGATCTGGAGTACTTCAACAACCTTAAGGCATCCTACAGTGTTTGATTAATCCTACCAATAGATCGTCTCCTAGGTACGGCAATCATTTGTTATACATTTTTTGATTATTTTTGAATAAAACTGTTGATGGTTCACAAGCCAAGGGATTGCTATCGAACATGGAACAGGAAAAGTTAGAAGCATTGGGAGATCGCAACCTGAAAGTTATTCCATACCTCACTTTGGACCTTTGAAGTTTAACCTTGTATTTGGCAAAACGAAAGTTGTCACAGGAGAAGTGCCTGATCGTCGACAGACAGTAACCCCCCATGTAGAGTCTGGGAAACTGCGTCGTCCGATTCTGTTTTGTATTCTTTTGTCTTCTCTATTGAAGGGGAGGGTCAGGTGTCCGTTATCAGTTTCCCAAACCCTGGCAGACACTGCGCTTATCGCGATGTGGGTTTATGAACCCAATCGAGGGGAAGCTGTAGATGCTCACTTTTAATCTTGAGGGCTTCGGTTTAGTTCGACTCTTGGAGGTGCGGTGGGAAGTGCTAGAGCTAGAATTGTATACTAATCCCATTAAATTGTTGCGTAACTTGACTGCGGACATGGCGTTGGTTTGTGTGGAGGACTTTGAGAAAAAGGCAGCAGGCCAGCTGGAAAAGAATGCACTCGACTACTACAGAAGCGGAGCAGGGGAGCAGTTCACGCTGGGGCTGAATCGGGAGGCGTTCCGAAAGCTACGCCTCCGTCCCCGGTGCCTGAGAGATGTTTCCCGCCTGGACATTGGCTGTTCGATCTTTGGGGAGCAAATGAAGTGGCCGCTGGGCATTGCGCCGACTGCAATGCAGAAAATGGCTCATCCAGATGGCGAGGTGGGCAATGCAAGAGCCGCCGGCAAAGCTGGATCCATATTCATTCTGAGCACGCTCTCGACCACATCCCTGGAGGACTTGGCCGCCGGCGCACCGGACACCTGCAAATGGTTCCAGCTCTACATCTACAAAGACCGGTAGGCACAGATGCGTTAAATTTATGCTCGCATTACCCGACTACTTTTCACATTCCAGCACAATTACTGAGAAACTGGTACGCCGTGCAGAGAAGGCCAACTTCAAGGCTCTCGTTCTGACTATTGACGCCCCAATCTTTGGACATCGCCGTGCCGATGTGCGCAACAACTTCAGCCTACCGTCGCACCTGACTTTGGCCAACTTCCAGGGGGGGAAGGCCACAGGCGTGGCTACAACTATAATGGGCGCCTCTGGCATTAATGAGTACGTGTCGAGCCAGTTCGATCCTACTATAACCTGGCAGGATATCAAGTGGCTGAAGGGCATTACGCACCTGCCCATCGTTGTTAAGGGGGTATTGACTGCAGAGGACGCCGTGCTCGCCAAGGAGTTTGGCTGTGCCGGGATAATCGTGTCCAACCATGGAGCCCGTCAAATAGACACAGTCCCTGCCTCTATAGAGGCCCTCCCCGAAGTAGCGAAGGCTGTAGGCAACGATCTGGTAGTCATGCTGGACGGTGGCATCATGCAGGGGAATGATATCTTCAAGGCCCTAGCTCTGGGAGCCAAGACGGTCTTTGTCGGTCGTCCTGCTGTCTGGGGTCTAGCCTACAACGGACAGAAGGGCGTGGAGGATATGTTGAGCGTGCTCAGAAAGGATTTCGAAATCACAATGGCATTGATCGGCTGCCAAACACTGAATGATATTCAATCGTCGATGGTGGTACATGAGTCCCAATATTCCAAGCTTTGAGTACAGAAACGAAATCTAGACCCTTCAAATAAATCACAATTGAAAAGAAACAAAAACATAATGAAGTTGTATTTTGAAAATATTTCCACAACATTTCGATGTGTAAAAGTATCGATACATGTCCCAGCCCAACCTATCGTTTAACTCCCACCTCTGTGAAATAAAAGAATATTAAATTGATAAAACACAAGAGAGATTTTGTTCGAAATTAACTGTACGTACGCAATGCAAAAAAAGGAACAATTGTAACATAACCTCTACGCCAGGTAAGTATTGGAGCAAAGCTGTAACAAGTTACATATTACGACGTGGCGATTTCCCCCTTGTAAAGGCGGGTGGCCAAATAATTCCCCTCTACCTAAGGGTAGAGCGGTAACTTAAAACCTCAAAAAAAAAAAAAAAAAACACAAGAGACACCATGCTTGAAGGTTGGTACTGTCGATCCCTTGCCAATCAAGAGGATGGCGCTGTTAAGGACGAGCCTCTTCAGCAGGAGAGCGATGAGGAACAGCCCACGCGGAACATTGGCCATGTGAACGCGAGGGGAGCGGGAGCAGGAGCACCAGCTAGTTCATCTTCAGCGTCCGCAGGAACTACGAATATTGCGAATAATGTTGATTACAAGGATCGCTACAAGAACCTAAAGCGAAAACTAAAGTTTCTCATTTATGTAAGGCATCGGTCGGAGTGTTTCCAGTGAAAACATTTAACATTGTACTTGCAGGAAAACGAGTACTTTCAGGATTTGCTGCATACGAATCAACGCCGCTTGCTAAAAGTGTCTCGCGACCGTACTTTCCTGCTTGATCGTTTGCTCCTTTACGAGCACCCCGCCAAGGACTCGAGCGACAGCGAGGCTACAGACAGCTCCGACTCGGAAACGGAACAAGCACCATCCACGTCCACAGCAGCTGGAGGCTCGCTGACACCAAAGGAGACCATTCGAAAAAAGCACAAAGAAAAAGGAACATCAGTCGCAACTGCAACTCCCCCTCACCAGCCAACTGTTGGTGCTACCCGTGGTCGCAGGCGCAAAGTATTGACTGGAGCACTGTCCTCAAACCATGGAGTGCAAGCACTTGGGAAACGGCAGCTGACGGCCACAGTTCCTCCTTCTCAACAATCTCTGCATTCAGCGGTCTCCCTAAGCACAGCTGAGATCACCCGTCAGTTGCAAGAGCGACGTCCGACGCCAATAGAACTTATGAGCCCGGAATGTACTTCGGCCACTGTTCCCACAACAATGCTCAGCGACGAAAGCCCATCGAAATGGTAAATTTTGAATGAGATTCCACATCGTTTTTCTCTTCTATGAACGATTTGTGCTTGTCTGTCTTTGCTAGCTATCCCAATGAGAGCCTTCACCATCTGATGGAGGACGACTCGCACTCTCAGGAGGTGGCCGCCGAAGAGTGCGTGGCAATGGAGTACACCAATTAAAATATTAACACACATTGATAGTTTGTATTATCGTCATCTTAAACCATTAAACTTAATAGTACCACATTCTCCCCTCGTATTAAAATCTGTGGCAAGTGACGTACTATCTGTACATTCTTTCGGTTCAAGCTCTTCACCTCTACTGCGGGAAGGGCTATGCCCAAATCCCTGAGACGCTCAGTGCAATCAATAGGCGCTCCGCAGATTTTCTGCTCTCCATAGTTGTATTTGCGACGTTGCCATGTCTCTGTGGCATTCCTCAAGAGAAGATTCCACTGCTTATCGTAGGCCACCAATTCGCCCACGACACTACCGCCTATCGCCCGTTCCTTGCGAAGTACAACCCGCACGCGGATCTTTCGAATATTCTGTGAAGCAGGTGTGACTATGCATTTTTTCAACAGTTCCAGAGGGCCTATCGCCGTCTCCATGTATGTAAAAATATTCCGTTGATGTTTCTTGTTTAAGGTGCTGACCGTTGGCAATTGATGCGGCTCAAAACGGCGCCGCGGAACATCTTCCAGAACAAGCACAGATTTTGAAGTGGAAGTCAAAGAAGGCTTTTTGTCTGCCGCTTGGCCAGGTCCTGCTGTTGTTCCAGATTTCTGTCGCTTGTTCAGTTGCCATACTCCAAACTTTTTAAGAGCACTCTCGAAGGCGGCTATGTTTTGGTACAGTACTTTTGGAGGTACTTCTGTTATTCTGTAATTGGGCTCGTATAGCGCTCTGAGGGGGTTGAATAGCTCGCTGGACACATCCAGTTCGGGATCTGTGGCTGCTGAAACTTCACGTTTTTCCGAACTCGACTCCATGGGCGGCTTTTGTAAGGTTGTTTTTGTTTTCTTTTACAAATCAAATGTCAACATTTCCACCGTGCCGGCTTGATGGAAGACTCACTTATCGATAGATAGGGATGGGATGGATGGAAAACAAATCGGGTAAATGTGAATAAGTACATATGAATGTAATAAATCAAATTAATACGCCCCATCGGATTATATATGTTAAAGAAAGGATTACAAATATTTCTTACATCTATTCATACTTGACATGAAAATAACACTACTGAGTTGAAGCTAATACAGAATGCTACATGATCTACACAAAGAAGCTTTCGTCTCCCCTTGAGGGGGTCAATCTTATCAGTTAAGCTTTAACGGCAGAGAATCAACAAGCAGGTGTGATAACTGAATGAAATTACAAAGAGGATGACATGTAAGTAAAAATTTGGTGAGTCACCAGACAAATCAACGAGAATTACATCCTCGTAGCCAACAGCTCCAGCTTGGACATTGGTCCGAAGACGCTCATCGGAGTGGGCGTTGGCCTGGTTGTGGCGGGAGGGGCAAGCTATTTTCTGTACCGACGCTACCTACAATACCGGGATGCTATGCCTGTGAATTGGAGGCGCGTGGGAACGCTACAGCAGATCAACTTATTTCCGATCAAGTCCTGTGCTCCACTCGACTCGACACCTGGAACAGAGTACGATTGCGATGTGCTTGGAATCTCACACGAGGGAATACGCGATCGCACGCTAATGCTGCTCGATGAAAATAACACAATGGTGACGGCACGGGGCTATCCTCATATGAAATTAATAAAGTCAAAAAAAGTGTCGGTCAAAGGACTCATATTCAGTGCGCCGGGAATGCCCGACTTGGAGATTGATTTCGATAACTTGGAGAGTCCTGGCCAGAATTTGCGTACAATCATTTGGGGTGCCCCCGTGGATGCAATGCTTTGTGGAGACCGGTTCAACAAGTGGTTCTCCCAATTCATCTTGAAGAAGGAAACAGGAATGAAGCTGGTGCACTATCCGTACCCGAAGGCCGTGAAGAGAGTCTGCGACGACTTGAGGAACATGCCATTTATGCGGAAAGAGGATTCGGTAGGTACCATGAAGCAACTATAAAGGAGGGCCCGCCGGCTTTTTAATGGGAAACGTAACAATGCTGTCAATAAGTGCGAGTGAAAGGGCGTGCAGAGAGAGTGAGCAACTTTACAATAATAAGAGTACAAGCTGCTCATACTTGCGTCCCACCACGGTCGTCGGGGAGAAATGACCCGAGGAACGCTGCCGACGACGGGCCCTCCTTTATAGTTGCTTCATGGGTAGGTACCAACACAATGGCATGAAATTCTTAAGAATCGTTCGTTCATTTTTACGAATGATCCGAACAGGGAACCTTTAACGATTCGACTAGCTACATGCTCATGAATCTGTCTTCGGTGGACGATTTGAACACTCGACTAAAGAATCCCGTTGAACCGCTACAATTTCGAGGTGGTTTCGAAATTAAATGTGACGTGCACGAGCCCTACGCCGAGGATAATTGGCAATGGGTTCGCATTGGTGATGAAGCCGTTTTTCGTCAAGTGGCACCGCGCACAGTGTGCATTGTTCCGAATGTTAATGACAACACAGGGAAGCGGGACATCGATGGCGAACCGTTGAAGACTTTGAAGAGGTGATCTACCTACCTCCTTCCCTCTACTAAATTTCAGAAAATAACCCATAACTTCATTTCTTTGATCAGGTATCGCATGTTCAACTATAAATCCCCCTTACTGGGCATACATTTGGGTCTCCGGCAGGCAGGCAAAGTCAGGGCCAATGATGTTGTGTATGTTGGGGACAAGTAAATCAATCTATTCAATCAATTGTTTTTGTCGTATGTAATTACAGTCTTTTTGATTAAATATAATATAAAAAATACATATAAATGAAGGAAATGAAGGTAGCATAGCGTGTTCCATAAGCCGCAAGTAGTGAGTATAGTCGAACTGTTAGGAGCGGTATTTAATTCTTAAAAGGTTATCCCAGATTATCCCATATGATCAGTACGAAGGGATATAGCCTTATTGACTAGGGTAATGCTAATTAATGGAGACGTTACGCTGTTACATACAGATACGTGAGCTCAGTATACCCCAATACCCTTCATTTATGACCCTGTCTACACATATCGATAGCCTGCACAGGGATGCACAATCCTATTTTTTGTCGGTAATAAATAAAATAAAAGGATAAACGGTGATTTTAAAAACAATATTAAATATTATTTTTAAAACCTGAATTGGATGATCAAATTTTTTCCAGACTTTTCGATAAGATCAACATACATATGTATGTATGTCTAATCTGTTGAGCTTTGAGCTTTTGGCGCAGATAAATCAACAGGTGTGATACATTTTGATACGTTCAGACATTTTATTTTAAGGCGATGGCATGTAAGTGAAAACACTTTGTTAGATCCCCAGTTGACTAAGTAAATGATAATCACATCATTGAAGCCAGCAGTTCCAGCTTGGACATTGGTCCGAAGACGCTCATCGGAGTGGGCATTGGCCTGGTTGTGGCGGGAGGGGCAAGCTATTTTCTGTACCGACGCTACCTGCAACACCGGGATGCTATGCCTGTGAATTGGAGGCGCGTGGGAACGCTACAGCAGATCAATTTATTTCCTGTCAAGTCCTGTGCTCCAGTCGACTTAGGGGCTGGCGTAGAGTACGACTGCGATGTTCTTGGATTGTCATACGAGGGAATACGCGATCGCACGCTAATGTTAATTGATGAAAATAACACAATGGTGACGGCACGGGGCTATCCTCATATGTTGTTAATCAAATCAAGAAAAGCCTCGGTGAATGGAATCGTATTCAGCGCACCGGGAATGCACGATTTGGAATTAGATTTCGAGAATTTGGAGAGTCCTGGCCAAGATTTGCATACATCCGTTTGGGGTGCACGAGTGGATGCAATGCTTTGTGGCGAACGGTTCAACAAATGGTTCTCTCAGTTCATCTTGAAAATGGAGACCGGTCTAAAGCTGGTGCACTATCCCTACCCGAAGGCCGTGAAAATCATCAACCCACGACTGAAGAACATGCCAGATATAACGCAAGCGGATTCGGTGGGTAGACAGCATAGTTCGCGGTACCAACAGTGATTAAGTATTTTTTTTTGTACAAAATAAACCGATCAGGGCGCTTTTAACGATGCGACAAGCTATATGCTCATGAATCTGTCATCGGTCGCCGATCTGAACACTCGGATTAAGAATCCCGTGGATCCGCTTCAATTTCGAGGTAACTTCGAGTTAAAAGCTGATATAGACGAGCCCTATGCGGAGGATCATTGGCAATGGGTTCGCATTGGTGACAAGGCCGTCTTTCGATCAGTGGCTCCCTGTACACGTTGCATTCTTCCGAATATTAATGTCAATACAGCGGAGCGGGACATTGACGGCGAACCTTTGAAGACGTTAAGAAGGTAGTAGAGTGATACAGTGTAGAGTCTACACAAACATATGAAATAACTTTGAATGCCTCTTTTTCTTTTATCAGCTTTCGCCTGTTCAACTATAGCTCCCCAGCACTGGGCATACATTTGGGTCTGAGGCAGCCAGGCAGGGTCAAGGCCAATGATGTTGTGTATGTTGGAGAGAAGTAAATTAATTTTTGAACATTTCGTCTGCTTATCGTATAAATATTCATGTATACACTCCAGTTTATTAAATAGAACATACATAGATAATGAAAGTAACTCATGTGTTTTATATGCAAATATACATCCGATCCGGCACGGTATAAACCTATAACAATTAAAACAATATCGTTGGCCATGCACTAAACGCATGACTGCCAGGCGAGACCGCCACAGGCCATGCTCACAATAACATAGACAATAAATATAATCACTATCCCAACCACAACATAGACACGAATATTCTTCCAAAACATCTGTCGCGCCAAATTTCGTGAAGCCTTGCGGAATGCAACCGACTGTAAATAAAGGCGCGAGTGCTGTTATAGCAAGCGATATATTTATCTTTGTTGAAATTAACTTACGTTATTGCTCAAGTTTTCTGTTTTATTGACGAGCAGCTCCAACTTTTCGCCCCGATCACGTAGACTGTCTATAATAAACAAGGAAACCGATACGGAGTATAAAGAAAATTGAAGCAATCATGATGGTTTCCAAGTGCTCACCAATATTTTTAACCATTATGTCTTTCAGTTCGTCTATCTGGCCATGAACACGAGAAATTGTATCAACATCACGCGACTGGCTGAAGTAGATCATCTGCTGGGAAAGTACTTGCGAGAACTCCGTATTCATGGCATAGGCGATAGCCGTGGCCACCTGCAGCCCATAAGTCTGTATGAATTTCTGCTTGATATCCGCCAGAAAAAAGAAAGCTCGATTTCGTTCAAACTCCTGTAAGTAGAGATAAGTAATAATTAATGTTAGTTTAGGATTAATTCCACAGTCCAATCAACATACATTGTCGGTAATGCACATGTAAACCAACTTGTTCTCGCATGTGTAGTGAATCAGATAGTCGCCGTGGGTGTAGGTCATCTTGTGGTTGTGCACCCCAATCCGTCCAATAATATGCTCCGTCACTTCGGCAAAGTTTCCAACGCACTCCGCAAACTTGGCAAGCACCGTGGTGCCGCGCGAGATGACACTATACAGTATCGGCATTATATGGTATCGGCTTTCTTATTTAGGGTGCGGTTGTATGCAAATCTCCGGTCACTGCACTTTCTCGCTCTTGCAGCTGCTGCTGCTCTGTTTATCTATGCAATAACAAAGACTTCTTACTGATGACGTGCTTTGCTCGGTCCCTGCGTTAGAATGCAACACACGAAGAGTAAGCTAATGAAATTAGTACAAAAAAGTGCATTCATGCATTATGAACATCAAGTTTTGTTTGGTTTGTAATTTGCATGAATGTTATGAAACTTACAGAACTATTTACACAGCTCCTGGGAAAAATATCGTGGTAACAAAAATTTGTAATGAAAGAGGAAACATGGATCTACAAGAAGAATTAACTAGTTTTATTTTTCGCGGATTAAGTCACGGTACTCTACTGTTTAAAAAGAGGGATTAGGTGGGCTCTTTTTTTCATACCATTTTATCTTCAAATCCGCGGTCTAACTGCACATATTTCGTTTTGCTATTTTGAATAACAATATGTTTATTTATTATTTATATTTATATTTATTTTTCAACTGCACAAAGAAAATAGCAACAATTGCTGACGCTTCGGATGCACCTATCGATAGCACTATCCCTCGCTTCGATTGCCCATAGCACTAGCTATACAGTTTGTAAATATATCAGTTCATGCAAGCAAACTGTCTCAGTTGAATTTGCGTTAAGAATACCCCAAAAAGCCTGGTGCGAATGTACATGCATACATATGTTTGCAAGTAATTTTTAGCTCTTGAAACATTTTGAATTTTATGTTTGTCTTCTGTGTTCTTTCAATTAGAATTGTTGAAATATGAGAAAAATATCACGAGATCAGAAAATCTAATTTTTGTAATACATTACTTGGTCATATATATTTGTAAAATGCAAAGAAAGGGGATAAACGTCTAAATATACAAACAAATAATGTATACCACAATACATACCACATGTGTGTACCACATACATACATACATACCATTCATATTACATATTACCAAATCATTTTATGAATACTTCTATATGTACATTAAAAATTAATATTATTTCTTACATATAAAAAATTATATATATTTATATTTATGCATACATCTGCCTTTAAATCTCTATGCTTATTCGCACAGTTGACGCTAAATACCCAGATGGAACCCTTTTCGAATTTATAGTCAAACCTAAAGTCAAATACATGTCCACCAACTGCTCGTGGGATACTCTCAGAGCAAATTCAACTGAGTGTGTTTGCCTGAACTGACATATCTATGTAGATACTGTATGGTTAGTGGCACCGCCGCTAGCAAACAATTTGTGCTCGACAAAATGTATTTTCGGTTTCATGAAAATATCATCCCTTATATATCCTGACGGGAACCATTTATCTGATCTGACTACGCTACACGCTGGCTGCTAAATTTTTTGTCGCACAAATATCAGGGATGATTTTCTATCGTTTCTATACGAATATCATCCCTGATTCGATCGACTAAAAATATAACTTTTCTGAGAAGTGGGCAAAAAGCCTTTTAACTATTTCTGGATTAAATGTACAGAAACACTTCTTTCTCCTTTACAAATTCCACAAGATGTATATTTTTTTGCACAGAACTGAATTCAAATTCAAAATGGCGCATTCTCTGTCTAGGTTCGTGTCTTAAAGGGTCTGCCATCAGTGGGAAAGAGACAACAAGTTGGTGGTAGAGTTGCCAAGTACGATCTACACAAACTTGTTTTTACTTTTTATTAAATATTTAGACTTTAATCCTGCTAAAGCAATTTCTACATATTTATATATTTAAAAAAATGTAAGCCATGGCTTAAATTGCAAATTGCAAGTCGCTAAAGTCGCTGTAAAAAATTATTTTTAATAATTTCAAGTACTTTTGTATAGTTATAAGGTTTTCAAGCTTTGACGATCATTTAGAGACCGATCCAACTATAATATCTTCACAAATTTGATATAGGTTCAAATCCGATTTTCTTTCCAATCCACTTCGTACAAAACCCGAAGGCGACGCCATGTTGAAATTTCAGACACTCTCGTGTGAAAAAATAATGTGCACTGTTGGGGTTGCGATTCGATGCCAAAATTGACAATTTTCAAAGTCTGTACAAAGATATTTTGTCCAGTCACAATTAAAAGATACGCGGCAGTGTTGCTCTAGTGTTTATGCAAAGAATCTCAGCGTCGCTTTGTTGTTATCGCTTGGTGGTGCTGCCGCCGCTGCCTGTCTGCCAGTGAGGACGGACGCCTTTGTAGAGAAATACATAATTTTGGCAATCAAATACTTGCACGTGGAATGGAATACACACCACAACGCCGCAACATGAGCCATACTCCAAACAATGAAGTGATGCTGGTCCCGGCCGCGACTCCTTCGCCATCGCCGCTGGCCAAACTCGATGTTGACTTTTCAGGTAAGCGAAGGCGGCGACTCCTGAGAACTGCTGATGCTCACACCGTACTTGTATTTTTTCGTCTAGGCTCGAACTATGAGATGCACTCGAGCCTTTCTGATGAGGAGCGTCGTTACTATCTAAAGGAGTTCCCGAGCGTGGACACGATCAACCAGCGGAAGGTGGACTGCACAGTATGCAAACTGCACATGGGCACTGCCCCTGGTTCGGAGGCAAGCATCAAGATGCACCCCATTCTGCGCGTAACGCACTGCGTCAAGTGTCACGAATTTTACAACAGTGGAGAGTTCTCAAAGGGCGAGGACGGTTCGGAGCTGTATTGTCGGTGGTGCGGTCAGGGCGGTGAGGTCTATTGTTGCTCCACATGTCCATATGTTTTCTGCAAGTCGTGCATCGTGAAGAATCTTTCTCGCGGCGTCATTAAAGACATTGAGCAGAACGAGAACTGGAACTGCTTTAGCTGCACTCCCAAGATCCTATGGCCCCTGCGGGCCCAGCACTGGGCCCTAGTCAACTACATCCAAACGCAGAAGCGGTGAGTGCTGTGCGGTGTGCTTTCTCTCTCATCAGATGTTGACGTTTTATATTCCTGCAGAGGCCTGCAGAGCCTGCAATTGCCCGAAAAGGAGGCGCGTCGCCAGATGACGCAGGACAACAGTTTGTGCTGCCGTCTGGCCAAGGCTAAGTCCAACAACCTCTCCGATTCCGCTGAGAGCCTTGAATCAACCACTTCGAAGCGCAGCCACAACAGTTCTGTGAGCTCTGCGAAGAAGGGCTCGTCATCAAAGCTGCAAGGTCCGCCCACCAAGCGTCCCAAGGCGTCAAACGACGAAGTCGTCTGTACGCCCGACTTGCTGACCATGCTGGAGCCCGACTGTCAGATTTCCATGCCCCAAAAGCCGGCAGCGCGTCTCCCGGTCTTACCGGCTAACATTACAAAAACGCCAAGGATTGTCACCGTGCAACAAAACTATACCGAACCCAGTCCCAGTCCCAGTCCCAGCAGCAATGGTAAAAGTCCACCCCGAATCAGCTTGCCTCCCCCTCTGGTACTGAGTGGCTCGGGAGTTCGGTATCGCCAAAGTTCACCGGCCAGTGTTGTGCGTCGCACCGTGGTGCCCAATAGCGTTAGGAACACTGGGCCCGTCTTCCACACTATCAACGGGTTCCGGGTGGATCTGAACAGCGCCGCGCAGCAGGACTCGTACCGGCTGCCCAATGGACGGCTCATCCAGGTCAAGCGCCAGATGCCCCTTGGCAGTCAGCCCGCAACCGCTTTGACACCGCCCACTCCGATGTCTGTGGGTCCACTGGGTCAGGTCCTAATTCGACCCCGTTCTCTCGCAGCCGCTCCGCCAACCATTCGCCAAGTTCACAGCAGCAGCACTAACAGCAGCCCAGGCGGCACTCCACCATCCGTGGCCTCCAACATTGGCAACAATATGGGGATCTGCAATCCGCAGATTAATCAACAGCAGCGAGCTCCTCAAGGTGTGCGCGTTGGAAATATAAGCCAGACAAGTGCCAGTGGCAGTGTAAATGCCAATGTCAATGCCAATGCCAGTGGCGGACCTTTACCGACGCTGGGTAACGCTAATGGAGGAGAAGGGACTCTGATATACGCGGTGCAACCGAACAAGGCACCTGCATTGATGCGCCACGTGTTCCCCAATAGCTCCATTGGACAGGCGCGCGCCCAGCTGCAGGAGCAGATATTCAATGCCATGGACATTTGCACACATCTCACCGGAAAAGTAATCTCTCTGACCCATTCGAATGCATACAATCAGGCGCGCAGCTATATGGATCTTAAGGAGCTGTACATTCATATGTCCTACCTTATGACCTATGCTATCGGACGCTTCAAGCATCTGCAGGATAAGTGTCTGGTCGATATGCGTGACATGGGCTTCAAGAACGATGCCAACAGTCTGGAGAACGGCCAGTTGGCTGCTGGTAAGTCCCTGCCAAACCTCTCTACCTTCTTAAAATTAAAGCACCGTTTGGTAGCCACCTGGCTCTAAATAAATTGAAAGGGGGCCGGAGTATCTCTATTATTGTCTTTGGAGAATATTTTTCGACACATGGACGGGCGTTGTCAGTTGTTCGTTTTAGCCGTTATTCATTGTTCGGGTTTGTGCGCGAGTGTTCATTTCTGAATTTGAGCTTGTTGAAGAGCAATGAGAGGAAAGTAAGTAAGTATCCTGTGTTCCACTGATTGTCTGTTTAGGGAAAACTGCAAGTTCCATTCCTTGGCTGCGATAGCGATTGGTTTTAGCTTGGTCCATGTGTTTGCAAAATACTATCCAAAGAGGCAATGGAATAGAACCCAAAAGCAGTTTTTCCCTAAACGTTAATCTATTTTTTGTGTGCTTCCAGCCGTCGACTATGTCTGCTTTGGCCAAATTGACGACGTGGATCTCTTCAACACAGGCTGCAACAGCTTCCACAATCAAGTGTACGAATACCGCAAGAGTCTGCACGCGAATCTCAAGGAGGGAGAAGACTGCGAGCCCCTGCCTCCTCTGATGCCCCTGGGAGTGCGAGCCGAGGGTGATCCCATTGACGAGGAAGATCCAGAAAAGGAGAACGAGAATACCAGTACATTCGAGGCGGTGCCCAGCAAGAACAATGACAACGATGTCGATAGCTGCGATTTTGACGAGCCCGATGATTTGGATGACGATTTGGACGATGATAATGATGACCTGGACAGCGAGGACCTCGGTGAACTGGGCACCGAGGAGAGCATGAATCGCAACGAACAGGCTCACGCCTACGACCGTAAGCTGACACGACTGCTGCGTGAGTATCCCTCGATCTGGTGCACCCATCACCCGGACTACGGCAAAATGGAGGTCACGCGTAAGCAGTGGCGTGTCATAGCCAGCCACTTTCCACGCGGCGACGATATCAAGCTTCGCTGGAAGAACGTGCGCAAACGCTATGTGCGCATCGAGCGCCGCAACCGTCTGGGGAAGCGCTTCAAGGGCTACTTTGACAAGGCAACCAACTATCTGGCCAACAGAGATCTGCCGCGCAGCCAGTGGCTGGAGGTGGACTGTGGCGAGGACGATGGGGATGGCTTCGAGCGAAAGCAACTGGACGTCATTGAAAACACCATGGACAAGGATCTCGGAGCAAGGCAAACAAGGCACACGAAGGAGACGCAGGAGATGCGGAAGCCGGTGAAGGCGAGACAAGTGCCCGTGCGCGACATTGACATGCGCATCATCAACTTTGCCAAGAGCCATCCCGTGCTGTGGCGCAAGTCGGCCGATCCCGAGTTCAATAGCATTGACGAGCAGACACGGAAGTCGCTGTGGCTAAATTTTTGTAAATCGGCAACCAGTGAGTAGTCCTCTAGAGGGGCAACGTTCACAGGTGGACAGTTAATCAGTGTTTCTTTCACTTTTCAAGACTATCCATGCGATTACCTGGTGGGCCGCTGGCAACAAATGTTCGAAATGTTCAAGACCTTCCGCCTAAGGACCATCAAGGACGAAAAAGTCCATGTCAACCTACAGCTGAAGTATTCGAAATATTTGGCCAGCTTGTTCTTTCTCCATAAAATCGATGAGCAGGACTTGCGCGATGAATTTGAGCCGCAGCAGGATTGTGTACAGAACGAAAATAAGTCCGGCAGCAAGTTGAAGCAAATGGCCGATGACAATCAGTTTGCCCAGCAGCTGGTGCTGGCCATGCGCGCCTACCCCACTCTGTGGAATCCGCGTCATGCTGACTACAATGATGTGGGTGCCCGCGAGCGCCTTTGGCCCGAGGTGGCCCGGCGTCTTCCACGCTTCAAGCGAGACGCCCAGACATGCAAGCAGCGCTGGCAAATGGCCAAATTCGCTTATGAGTGCTATTGCCGCGAGCTGAATCGACAGCCTCAGCCCAATGAAACGACTCTGCAAAAACTGCGCTTGAACTTTCCCCTGGAGGAGATGCGTTTCCTTAATATTTAATTCCCATTTCATTCCAGTCAATGCCAATCTAAACATAGTTTATGTATAACCATACTAATAAGATCGAATAAAGAAATTTCCAACCTCTGTTTGATTGCGCCATTCAATGAATTTTTATGCTACTCAAATCTGATCGAAACAAAGATGAATTTTTGTTAATTTTGATTGTCTCTTGCAGAGAAACAAGCCAGTGATGACGAGGATAACGAGATCGAGATTGTGGAGCCCAAGACGGACACCATCACCATTGATTCCGACAACGAGGACGAGGCGTGCTTGCTCTCTAGCAGCAAGAAGATTATGAAGATAACTTCTGTTTCGTCTCATTCTCCGAAGATAGATGTTCCGAAGAGGGAAGTCATGGAAGTACTGCCGAGTGAGGCCGATATGGCAGCCTTTAGCTCAACAATATTAGCCAGTCTTCTCGAAGTGGAAATTACTGAGGGCACTGCCGAGCTCAAGAATGTTTCGCCAGGACACAAAAAGCAGCCTCGTAAGAAGACAACGAACAGGCCGAATCCTGCATTGCTCCAATTGGAGCGCCAGCGCATGGAGGAGATAAAGCTCACCGATGCCAAGCTAAAAAAAAAAGTCGTGGTCAAGTTGCGACGAGCAGAGGAAGAGTTTGAGGTGGCCCGTAAATGGGCTAAGAACTGCGATAAGCAGGCCAAGAGGGACCGCCAGGCTCAGCAGGCAAAGCCCGACGCTGAGGAAAACCCACTTACCGGACCCAAAGAGCCAATTTCTATCGAAGTAGTAAAAGGACCTGAACACTGTATTAATGGGGGGTCCAGCCCACGTAACCCAGTAGCTGACAAAGAAACGGAAAAGCCTGAGGCACCCCAAGAAACTAGCAGCAAGAATGACAAATCAGACGACCCAAAAAAAGAGATTGCAAATGATGATTACCTAAAAATAGGAGATGCATCAGACAGGCAGCACGAGAAAGATGACTCTGAAGCTCAAGCCGAAACTGAACCTCAACCCGAGCCAGCAGCTGAAGCGGAAGCGCAAGACGAAGTTCAATCCAAACCTGATGCTGTTGATGAGCACAACAAAAATGAAATCTTTAGTACTAATCCAGTTGAAGGTGATGACATGCAATGGCTACAGTCCGAAACGGATGCTGTGAAGGATAAATCAATGGACACTTCCACTGAAAACCTTGCTGATGTGCCGCTGGAAAGCATGGACAAAAACGTCCCCATTGAAAAAACTGAACAAAGAAAAGATGAAGTAGGGGAAGAAGATGAATCAAAGGATCTGGATGGTATTGGAGTGAGTGACCCAGCCAAAGATCTCTCTCCCATAGCATCTACACCTGAAGCTAAAGCGTTTAAAGACAAGGAAAATGAGATGACAGTTGCGGATATAAATCCTGAAATTGTAGCTTCCGATACTGACTCAGCCACGTTGGGAATGCCATTGCCAGAACCCATCCTTAATGATGATCAAAACGAGGAGATCTGTAAGTACCCGCGTGAATCTGAACCCATAACGGAGACCGAAGCTGTTGCAGGTTTCAACGAGAATGTCGAATGGAAATTGACACCATCGGACGAGCCTTCCTCTAATGGGACTGCAACTGGACAACTCATTGGTTAGTTTGTGGAGATCATTCAAGATCCTGACCACGACTTTGCATAAAGCATTGACATCATGGATATTAAAATCACATTAGTAACTTATACTCTGTGTATATAATACTTTAATGATCCAATGAGATACAAGAAAACTTCAAATAATTTGTTTAGTAACTTAAATTTTGGTTTAAATTAACTTAAACTTGTTTTATATATAGCACATATATTTGGCATTCATTCTTTCTTTAGTAAGTTTATATTTATGATACACAAATGTACAAAGTGAATGAATATTTATCATGTTATATTCTTGAGAAGCTACCCCAATTAATTCAGATTAGTTTGACGACCACTCTGTTCTTTCTTTCTGTTCTTTAATAAACTGTTATGGCCTCCAATTACACTTATATTGGACATACAAATTTGTATGGTTCTTTCACACCGGAATCAGTGACATGTTTGCTTATAGCTTTCCCATTCTGTATAGCTATGTGCATAAGAAGACATCGCATTTAATCAATCCTTCATTGTTATATTCTCGAAACACTAACAAGGCCTGCCCGTCATCAGAGCGATCTGAAGATCTAGTAGTACTAGAAGTACTTACGATACGAGTTTTTGTGTCTGCTCCATTTATGAATTTGTTTATGAGTATATCTAATATCAGCAACTGAACAGGAGAGCAAACAAGCCAGTAGAAATTATTTAGTACTTAGGGTATTAATTGATATTAAGTAAATATATTTTGTAAGTTGTAAGCTATTATATGAATACAAATAAAATCTTAAACACCTAGTGCCTGTCTTTTTATTTAATTTGATTCGAGTGGTCAAGGCTCAAGGGTCAACACGTCGGAAGCTTTGAACGGAGGATTACATTTACGAGTACATACTATTCATCTATGTGATATATCTTATGTGCAATACTTTTAACGTTGATATGGATTGATGGAGATTCTGCTCACTCTAATCTCATTCGATGGATTCACAACATAACGGCTTCCCATTAAATACGATGCGAGAGAAGAGGAGTTTATCATTAGATGGGAATAGCACGAGCTCAATATTCGCTGCAATCTTCAATGCCACCGGGTAAACAATAATACAAACGCTATATATATGAGTGGTTTGATAATATAATAATATATCTCGTTTCATATGTGCGGGCATATCAGACGTTGTGTTAGAGTATTCTATTAATTATAATTTCAGGAACATAAAGTGGATTCTCGTGAGTTATAATAACAAACTGTGCGGTGTGTATAAATAAACATTATGAAGTATTTTTGGGTCTTTACAAAGTTGGGGCGAGTAGAACATATAGTCTCATACAAGCCTGTCTTGGGAGCGCATATTACTAACAACTTGGACGCTTGTGCAGTCGCATGTGGTTGAAGTATTTACCTGGCGGCGGGCACCTGATCTTGTAGTCGGACACATAGTTCCAGGCCTCCACCATTGTGTCGTCCTTCAGCTGATGTTGCGTAATGCTGCCTTTGTAGGCGCACAAATGCTTTGAGTGGGCGAAACTGAAGAGCGGGTGATGATGTCGCTTGATGTGGGCATGCTGTGCGCAAAGCCCTGTGATGTAGACGTCCTCCAAGTACACAAGCGTCGTGTTCAGAGAAGCCTCGTACAGCCGTTGCACCACATCAATAGAGAGAAGGTACCCGGCTCCGGACAAATACTTTGGATAGGACTCCGGCGGATACATATAGGAGGGCATGTACCACTTGCTGCTAACATCGTTCACGGGCACCACGTTGCAGAACTGGTGTCCGTACATCACCTCGTTGGTGTCGTTCAGTCGATTCTGCGGCGACTTCACCAGGTACGTGTATCGATCATGATAGTCCAAAGTATCGTTGTAGAGCGGAACGGAGCCGCCTAGCAGAAAGTGCAGCAGATTGGGGACATTTACAAAGGTGTCGTCGTCGCACTTGAGAAAGTACGCGGTGCTGTTAGCGCAGCTCCGGCTTATGTGTTTCAAGGCCATCACCGACTTGAGTGTTAGATTGTTGTAGCTATCGACGAAGCTCTCCTGAATAATATCGTTGTACTGCTCCGCCTCGCTGTGAACTCTAGATAACGTTTCGTTACCCTCAAGGGACTCGTACTTGCTGCGGCCCACAATGAAGACAACGCGGACGGAGGCTGACAGTGAATCACCCTCTCCGCTTAGGTAATCGGCATACAACTTCAGGCGCGCCGGCATCGGTGGCAAGTAGTTTCCCTTGAGATGGCCATGCATCTTCACAAATGCTCCGTAGTTGAACTCCGAGGTGTTTCCCCAGGTCTCGCGTATTGTCTGCCGTTGAACAAAGTTGCCCAGGCTGGTGCAAACGGCGATTACCAGGAAGGTCTTGTTGCGACAAAACTCCCGCGGCACAATAAGCGCCGTCTCCTGCACTGGGTCTATGTAGTCGCCTATGCTCCGGGAGGTCTCCAGTGTCCAGTCCGGTAAACCCACTGGCAACGCAAAAGTAAAAAGAAAACACGGGGATCAATACAATAGAGCTATGCATCCCTAGGCGCTTCTCTTACCTCGACGTTTGTGCACATCCATGTACATCAATGGCAGGTAGACAAGGAGTAGCAGGAAAATAAATGATGCCATAAGAGTGTAACATCCCAGCCGACGCAAACTTCTTGGAAGAGGCAAGCGCGGTCGCCACTGCAGCTTCGTGGCTCCTTGTCCTCGCTTGCCCTTGGGCTGCCTTGTAGTTGTCTCTTCATCGGACACAGATGCCGTCGACCCGGAACTAACGGAAGAGTCCGCCAACAGAGCACACTGCTCTTCATGCCCGCTCCATGCGTTATTCATTTGCTCTTTTGTTGTTTAATCTCCCTTTGGTCGGCGTTCGCTTTGTCTGCATTTCAGGTGTTCCATTGCATTTTTTCAATGCCAACTATTAATCCAAGCAGCAGCAGCGGCAGCAGCAGCACTGAATGAAGTGTCTATAAATCTTTAATTAACAGCTCTGCGGCCGGCAAATTTCACTAATATTTGCGATTCGATTCAATTCACGCAATAGGCAGCAACAATCACATGAAATTTGATAAAAGTGCCGTTCTGCTGATTACACACTCGCCAACACAAGTTCATGTACACACAGACATGACAGCATTTAAGGTGAGAGCTCCCAGAGGTCTTAGGCATGGGAGCTGTCTGATTCGGTGCACGACAAGCGCCTGGGCGAATGGTCGTTGGTCGACTGGGAGCTTTTCATGGTCTGGACTTTAGATTGTTAGCTATAAGTACAATATATTGTTATATAATAATATCATATTATTATATTTTATTACCTTATAAAACAAATGTTTTTTTCAGCTCTTACGTAATTATTTTTTTATGTACTCGTCTCTAAAATTTTGTAGAGAAATATCTCAAAGATAGAATATATATTTATTATAGACGGTACTTGAAGAGTAAATAGGGTATATTGTATTTGTGCAAAAAGTAAATGTATGTAACGCACAGAAGGAAATGTTTGCGACCCCATAAAGTATATATATTCTTGAAAAATTAAAAAGTAAGAATATACTGCAAGCACGTGGGGAGCATAACCTCTACGCCAGGTAAGTATTGGAGCAACACTGTAACAAGTTACATAAAAAAATATATATATTCTTGATCGTCTGGATCTCAGAGACCATAAAAGCTAGAGCCACCAAATTTTGCATCCAGACTTCCGTATGCTCACACTGTTACAAGTGTATTTCAAAAATGGGCCCAAACCCACAATTTTGAAGATAACAGAAAACTAAAAACGCCATTCCGTAGGGAATGACCATATGTATCAGCTCACCAAATTGGGATCCGATAGCCACAATGAAGAAATTAATTTGCAGTGGCTAAACCCGCCCTGTCCCGCAGCTTTTCTTGTTCTTTTCACATTCTCTCATTCACACTCTGCTTCTGCTTCACTCGGCCTCTGCCTCTGCCGTCCCTCTGCCTTAGCCTCTGCCGACTTTTAACCCACCCCGTCCCGCAGCTTATATGTTTTTTTTTGTGTGCGGGCGCTGCCTCTGCCTCTGCCGCGAGTTTGCAGTGTGTGGGTCTAGGGAAGGGGGCGAGCTAAAGGAGCGTGTTGGTGTGGGTAGTGATGTAGATGTATATGACAGATGAAGAAAAAATGTTAAATTTGAAAAAACAAAAGTAGTAAAAAGTACTGAGTTCCGGGTATAAAAGTTGTGACGCGTAAGAAGCGTCTCACACGTCCCTTCTCATTTTGTTTGTATATATGTACATATGTATATACACATGTACATACATACGTACACATGTGAAACGACGACTCAAACCGTTTTTCCCGCCATTAAGACTACAATTCTCCGCCCGCTTAACTTATCGTAACAGAAATAAAAGACTCGTCCATTTAGTGTTTTAATTGTCTTATTTCTTATTTATTTATGTTTTATATACAATAATGTGAATTTGCTCCAAGTCAGGTGCATAAAAATATCATAAATTGAAAGGCTTAAGGTCAAGAGTGTAAATGAGGACGTGATTGATCTTAGTCTAAATTACAATTCTATTACAAATTACACATAAAAACTCCCTGGTTAAATATTTATCATGAGTTGCCAGCCCTAGAAATCGGCGTCTAGGGTAAACACGTTGTCCAAGCGACTCGTTACGACTCCCATGCGCTGGTACTCGGCCACCTTCTTTTCAAAGAAGTTTGTCTTTCCGTCTAGAGAAATCATCTCCATGAAGCTAAAGGGATTCTTGGTGTTGTAGATCTTACCCACACCAAGCTCCCCTAGCAGACGGTCGGCGACAAACTCGATGTATTGCGACATGAGGACGCAGTTCATGCCAATCAAGTTGACGGGCAGGGCTTCGGTGAGGAACTCTTGCTCGATTTCCACAGCATCCCGAATGATCTCAATGATGCGCTCACGCTTGGGACGCTGCACAAGATGCTGGTACATCAGCACCGCAAAGTCGCAGTGGAGGCCTTCGTCACGGGAGATAAGCTCGTTGGAGAAGGTCAGACCGGGCATGAGGCCACGTTTCTTTAGCCAAAAGATCGAGGCAAAACTGCCGCTAAAGAAGATTCCTTCCACAGCCGCAAAGGCAATAATTCGCTCGGCAAAGTTGGCCGATTTCGAGGATATCCAGGATAGGGCCCAGTCCGCCTTGCGCTTCACAGCCGGCATGGTCTCAACAGCATTGAATAAGTAGTCGCGCTCCTCCGGCTCCCGTATGTAAGTGTCGATGAGCACGCTGTACATCTCGGAGTGCACGTTCTCCATGGCTATCTGGAAGCCGTAGAAACAGCGCGCCTCCGTGATCTGAACCTCCTGACTGAAGCGCTCCACCAGATTCTCGTTAACAATGCCGTCGGAGGCAGCGAAGAAGGCAAGCACATGGGAGATGAAGTAGCGCTCGTTGTCAGTGAGACGGGCCCAGTCGGTCGCGTCCTTAGACAGATCCACCTCTTCCACAGTCCAGAAGGAGGCTTCGGCCTGCGAGATGAGTACAATGTTAAATTTTTAACATGCTTGAATAAAATTGTTAACAAAAGCGGACACATTATTATCTTATTTGCTCTAATCTTTTGAATGATTGCCCTCAAAAAAACAGTTATTGTTTCATTAAGAAAATATGCTGGGGGCTGGGGGGTTGCACACGCCTATCATGTTTGATTTGATTCATGCAATCGGGCACGCCACCGACGTGACTGTATTTTGGCGCGCTTAATCATGAAATTACCCGCCAGAAGTAGATACACACAAGCGCACACACACACACACACAGCCGCACACATGTACCACACATACCTTTTTGTACATCTGCCAGATGTCGTGGTACTGAATGGGGAATATAACAAAGCGGCGGGGATTCTCTCGGAGCAGGGGCTCAATAGAAGGGTCAAAGGGCGATCCATTCTTCTCCATAATGGACGTCGCTACTTTGCTGACCTCGGCTTCCTTGGCTCCGCCATTCTCCTCGTTGCCAATGGACATTTTGCGTACGTTGCTGGCGTTCTCGGTCAGTACTTTCTTGCTGGGGCTCTAAAAACATATGTCCAGTATGAAACAAATATGTGAGTTGAAGTCAAGCGAGCAATATGTATGCCTATTTGCTGTAATGCGCAATATAGTGTAAATTTCATTTATTCCCACGGGAACATATGTACACAATACACACGACAAACGAGAGTCTATGTATAGCCTATGTACTTGTGAATTTGCATACGAATGCAGGCATTTAATTTCCCATTGCATAAACGTGTCGCGTCACTTACCTTTAGCGTGAATTTCTCCATGTTGTCGGCAATATTTTCCTTAGAAGCAACCTGAGACATTTTGTTGCGGGTTAACTTGTTGATTGTTCTTAAAATAGTGTGTACTTGTCAAAAAACGTTTTTATATAACGTGGAAAAGCGGCTGGTTTGAAATTTCACCATCAATTGAAAGGAAAAACAGAGGTTCTTGGCTTATATGCCGGGCGGCAAGCTATTTACCTTTCCCGCCAAAACGAGCGTAGGGATGATAAGATGCAAAAATAAGAATATCGGTATTTTTGTGCGATAAGTGAACCATCTTTGAAGATTTATTTTCCTGCTATCGACACTGCAATCGAGTATCAAACTATTCCAAATCAAAATAAATGAATAAATAATTATGGACTCTACGACTACAGATCACCACAAGCAGATGAAATACTGCACTACCCGACTGCCATACCGTCAGGGGCGGGAGTTGAAAGCCGTAAAAGTATTAAAGCTGCTCTGCATGTTTGTTCGCATAACGAACTCTTGTCTTTTGCAGGTCTATACAGTTGCCAGCGAATCGCGGCACTTGCTGGTCTTTGGAGTGCCCAGAATAAACCTCCAGGGAAACCTAAAGGCCAAGCTACAGTGTTTTGGAAAACTGCAGTCTTGTGCGTGTATTACTTCGGAGATGGCTAAAAAGAGTGCGTGTGAAAGACACTGACTTGATCCTTGAACTAAGTTACAACTGTTTGCAGTGGAACTGGAGGCTTTTACAGATGTCTTTGCCGTACAGTTTGAGCGCCTCGAGGTAGCACGACGAGCCAAGCGGCAGCTGGATGCCAAACAGTTTTACGGTGGAACCCTGCACATCTCATATGCGCCTGAAAGAGAGACGCAGCAAGAGCTGCGGGAAAAACTGCTGAAACGAAGCCAGGAGGTAGCGATTCGTGCAAGACTTAATCACACAGACCATAAGGATAAAGGATAAGGAATGAATGCACGATTCGGACATTTATTAATTTCAAAACATTGTAATGAGCCCCTGGGGGGCTAAACGATATCCCTAACCATGAACAGTAATGCATTTTTTTTTTTTTAAACCTCTTTGATCTGTCATTATTTGGGCTTCGATTCGCGGAGTTGGTGGTAGTAGTTCAGCAGTGTTAGGCGTTTCGCCCACAGCTGAGCACCATAATGCGCCCAGAATCTGAGGATGAACAAGAGAGTGAGTGAGGGCCAACGCCAGCTGTCACATCTGGCAGTTTACTTACATGCCAAAAGCGGCTCCTCCCAAATGCGCCGCATGGTCAAAGAACTTCCATCCCATCACGCAGCCGGCAAAGTCAATGCCCATAATTACTTTTATGCCGGCACTGGCGGAGAACGTTAGGGCGGGCAGAAACAATATGCTGAGCTGGGTATCCGGATACTGGGCACACACATATGCCAGCACTGTCATGATTGCTCCCGACTAGAGAGTAATTACAAGATTTATTGTATTTAATGTAACACTTTCCCTTGCCATTGCATACGCACCGCTCCCAGAGACATGCCCACTTGTCGCGTGCCCGCCTTGTACAGAATGCTCATCAGACTCGAGAACACACCGGCGCTCAGGTAAAGTGCTAGGAATTGCTCCTTACCCAGCGACGTGGCTGCGGCGTTGGCAAAGCTGTGCAGCACATACATATTGGCGAACAGGTGCATGGCCGAGTAGTGACTGAAAGTGGACAGGAACATGGGCCAGCACACGATGCCTGCTCAGGGAAACAGGTGCTCAGATACGGGTGATTTGATTCGGATCAAGGTCTCGCCTGACTTACGCGCAGCCGGGTTGGATGTGAAGTACGAGATCATAGTGGTTCGCAGGCGGGGTACGCGCCACAGGCCAAACACCAACAGATTCACAAAGCAGATGGGGGCAAACACCTTCTCGCCAGTGCTCAGATTGTCCCAGTGCTGGAGGATATCCTGTTTCAGTTGCGCCCAGTCGCTGCGGTCCACGACCGATCGACTTTGCCACCAACCAAATTGCGCTTGCTTGGCTTTGGTAATGATTAGGCTTCGTGTGTTTTCGTATTCCAAAATGGTGGCTCCGGCAAAGCATCCCACCGTAAACTGGAATCGAAAAGATGTACAGAAAGAAATTCATATGGAATATCGCCTGCTTACTGCGCCTGTGAATGCAACAGCCTTGATTAAGTTGTTCGTAGGAACTGTTGTGCTTTCTGGGACCGGCTCCCCGCCCGAGGGCTTTACATTGCTTCTCTGCTTACTGTTGGCGTGGACGTATCGTGCTGGTGGTGGCTTTGATCGTGGTGCAGGTACTATGTGTCGGCATGTGAAATTGTGTCCATTCGCATATCTGTGTCTGTGGGATGACTGACTGTGGTTAATCTGTCACGGACAGCGCCTTTGACTCTACTTACGTCACCTGGGAGAGCCAGCTCCTACAGAGCGCGCGATTTACAAGCATAGTAATAATTGATAAATTGAAATAGAAAAATTTTGTACGAGTTTATATTTAATGTTTTGTTTCTGACATTTGAGCTATCGATAAGAATGACTATCGTGAACATGATGCAATTATAAAGGGTGGTTCCGTATGCTGACTAAATGTTTCGTTTTCGCACCATTACAGTTTAGTGAAAAGGTTGTGTGACATATGTATATTAACCCATGCCTGTGCAAAATATGATTTTTCAGTTTTTGCAGCAAGAATCTCACAATTTATTTAAAATTGCGACCCTACGCAAAAAAATATCTATTAAAAAGCAAAAATAACGACTACTTTCAAGTAGTGAATTACTAAATTTCAAAATAATAAAGAAAACTTCAACTCTTTTTCATGCAATGGTCAAGGACCCCCATTAAGGGGCCATTAATCTGCACACTCTATTGTCGTTTCAGCGGCACTTACTACTATTACTTACTACTTTTACTTAAATAATTGCATCGTGATTGTGCTTTCTGTTTTGCCTGTGTAACGGTGTTGTGCTACGTAACGTATCGTATCATAGCTACGTTACGTTGTGCGCGTAATTTCTTTTGGGCTAAGCCCGGTCCACTTCGCTCTCTGCCCAGGCACATTTTGAAGCTTTTTCGTCCTTGGGCCTGCAGTCGCTAAAGTACTGGCCTGTGATGTGATTTAAGCTAGGATCAAGAGATGCCATACAGCGATGTCTGCGCTCCACTTTTCGGAGACTTAATAAAGGGCCAAATTAGTGGTTTGGTCAAATACCTGTAAAAGTATGCAGTCAATAATTTGGGAAGGGAGACGCATTGCCACGTACATTTGTACACATATGAGTACTCACTTTCCAAGTTCCGTTTGAAAAAGTCTCCAGTTCCGAAAGAGCTCTGTGTTGATAATACGGGGATGCAAGGCATTCACCGTCACTCCACTGCCATTCAAGCGCTTGGCCAACTCCCGCGGGAATAGAATATTTGCCAGTTTGCTCTGGCAATAGGCTCTGCTCCGGCCATAGGAATTCTGGCTGTTCAGATCAACCACATTGATTGAGCCGAATCCATGGACCAGGCTGGATAGGATGATGATTCGACTGGGGGTAGAGCTCCTCAGGATATCGATAAGCAGATTGGTAAGCAGAAAGTGCCTCCAGAAAGTGGTTGACCCCAATCTGCATCTCAAATCCATCCTTCGTCAGCGATTTGGGACAATCCATTACACCGGCATTATTAATCAGTATGTCAAGATGTTTATCATTATCTTTCTTGAAACTGAACCGAAATGAGTGAGAATTGGAAAACACAATCCCACGGAATCCAGGGAGCTCAAGTCCAATTCTCGGGAAAAGATGTTTGCATTCTTTGTCTTCTGCTCACACTTTTGCATATCGAGAACGGTCTCCCTGCCGATGCCCGTATTGCATCCGGTGACAATCACAACTTTTCCCGTCTCATCAGTTCTCTTGGTAAACTGACCGCCCTGCATGTACGCCCTAAAGTAGTTTCTACTTTGTAATAAATTTACAGATCCTATTAGAGACACCAACATGAGCAAGTAGACCCAAAGGCCAATAAAGCAGGTCCGTATACCAGGGGGCTTATCATGCAATACTTAGGTTAAAGCGTACATTTCCAAGTGCCTTCTGCTAGCTACGAGGTGATACTACGCTGCCCGATTCAGATGAAATAAATCTGAAAGCTTGCGGTGTTACGGGTATAAAGTGCATATCACATTAATAAATTATTCCTATGAATTGGAGCCGTCTCCAAATGGATGTGAGATAATCGTTTCGGAAAGCAAGCATTTGATAAGGCCATTAATGATATTACGGATATTACGGGCTTCGCTCGTCCGTGTTAGGCGGAACCAATCTCAATAAATTTAAGAACAGCTTTAAAGTTGTTGTTAAAGGTAGAAAATATTATATATTTATAAAAAAGTACCAAAAGAGTATCTTAGATGCTATAAGAGCCATAGCAAATTTGTTCAGCTGGAACAAACGGAAGAACGTTGTGAGTAGCATTGATAAGCCTCACTACTCAGTCAGTAAAGATATATGTATATACATACGTACATATTTATGATTATGATTTTTTTCGAGTTTTACATTTTCTTACAACTGTCATCTACATCAAATCACACACCAGCACGCTCCTTTAAAGTTAGATACTTTTTCATTATGTAAAAAGAGGTTAAGCGGAGTACAGGAATATTACTGAGTACTGTATTTTCGTTGCAACTCCGAATTGTTTGGCTGGTTTTCAATTCTTTTCAATTTTACTTGGAAATGAACATTTCATTTCATCCCTAAAACTAACCCTAAACCCAATTCATCGGCTTATACCCGTCCATTTCTCGGACTCTAGCCACAACCACTTGGCCATTTTGTCATCGGTGGCAGCAGGAGCTACTACCTTCGCACTGCAGTCGCTGAAGTACTGACCGGACACCGTATCCAGTTCGGAATCTAGGGCTGCATAGAGTGTTGTCTGGGCTCCGTTTCGGGGAGACTTCATGAGAGACCAAAGCAGAGGCCTGAGAACGGTCCTGAAAGTATACAAGAATTGTTAATGTACCCAATGGGCAAGGATGAACTGGACACACTCTACTACATACTGGGCGAGCTTTGTTTTGAAGAATATCATATTCCTCGCTATTTGCGTGTCTGCTATACCGGGATTGACAGCATTGACCGTTACCCCAGTGCCCGCGAGACGTTTAGCCAGCTCCCGAGTGAAGAGTATGTTGGCCAGTTTGCTTTGGCAGTAGGCTGTGCCTTCGTCGAAGGACAGCTTGCTGTTTATGTCCTCCACGATGATCCGGCCCCGCTCGTGCGCCTTGCTGGAAACGACCACAATGCGACTTGGCTCCGAATGCTTCAGTAAATCGAGCAACAGGTGGGTGAGAAGGAAGTGACCAATATGATTGACTCCCAAGTGCATTTCGAAGCCTTCTTTTGTGAGTCGACGAGGCTCCCAGAAGACGCCGGCATTGTTGATCAGGATGTGCAGCTTATCTTGCTCCTTCTTGAAACTGTCGAGGAGTTGGACGTGATTAGATAAGAATTATGACTGACGGTAAAGCAGTGATTCACCCATCGACAAATTTCCGAACGGAATCCAAGGAGGACAAGTCACATTCGCGAGAGAACACGTTCGAGTTTTTTGTCTCCTTAACGATCTCCTTGCAGGCTTGCTCGCCCTTTTCCTTGTTCCGACATGCCATGTATACAGTAGCTCCTCTTCGGGCCAGTTCACTCACAGTCTCCCTGCCGAGACCCGTATTACCGCCAGTCACAATTACCACTCTGCCCGTCTCATCCGTGTTCTTTTTGAACTTCCCCCCCTGCATGTATAGCCTGCAGGTAATAAAATGATTTTCTGGATAAATTAATTGTGAAATTAATTGCACACAATCCATGTCACTTTTATGTTTGATAACAGGTATCAGCGTTACATTTAACTTTGGGTCAGTAATTACCTCACGCAGACGGCAATGATTCCGACAATGGCATGTGCCGCAAAAAAGGGGGCAATGCTTCGAAGAAAACGTATAATAATTTCCATAGTTGATGCGCTCAGGGTCCGGACGTAAGTGAGGCCAGCAAATGGGAATGGCCTAGGAAAAGTACTTGATATGTGATTACACGAAAACTGGCAAAATTGATAGTGCAGAACTCTACATATGAGCACTGTCTAATCTAAGTTCTGCTGCTGAAATCGAACCGAACCTTTAGCATAGATAACTGGAAACACAACTAGAAGACTGACACCACCACCAGCGAGCGTGAGGCCTTGTGTGTCCCTATGATACTATGGAACGTTGTACCTTTTGAACCGAGGGCTTTTAACTTAAACTTTAATAGATATGTACACAGTATCTATTTTAAACAAACGATGATGAAATTGGCAAGCAACCGGTTTTAGTACAGAATACATTTTTCAAACGGAACGGAAAGCGCCGATCAGCTGGAACTTAATAAGAAATACCATTTCTCTGCTGCTAACCAAATTAGCAGAGCATTGTAAACATGAATGGGTGCCAGAGAATAGATAAGAAAGTCTATCGATTGTAGAAAATGATTCATTTATGACTGGCATAATGCTAAAAAAGCGGTTTATCCTATTTTTTCACATCGATTGCCGGTGGATTTGTCCACTTCTCGCTGACCGCCCATAGCCATTTGCCTGTTTGGGTGTCTGTGGCAGCTGGTGCCACGTCTTTGGGCTGGCAGTCACTGAAATATTCACCAGAAACCTGCTCCAAGTCAGGATCGAGGGCGGCATATAAGCTGGTTTGAGCTCCATTCCTTGCAGTCTTAACGAAGGGCCAAAATAAAGGCTTAACGAATAGTCTGAAAGCAGAAAATCAAATTCAAACTATTTCCTGCAAGATTCTCCCACAGGTACCAACCCGGCAAAGAAGTTACTGAAGAAGCTCATATGCCTAAACAGTTCTGTATCCACAACACCGGGGTGCAAGGCATTAGCCGTTACTCCAGAGCCTGCCAGTCGCTTCGCCAACTCCCGTGTGAACAGGACGTTTGCCAATTTACTCTGACTGTAGGCTCTCCCTTCGTCGTACGACTTGTCGCTGTTCAGATCGCCTGTGTTGATTTCGCCACGTGTATGTGCTAGGCTAGAGACGTTGACAATCCTACTGGGCGCTGAGATCTAAACATTTTGTCGCATTACTATCAAATATGCAATATTTCACGTGGCTAGCAGCAGCACCTTCAACAGATCCAGTAGCAGTGTTGTAAGTAAAAAGTGGCCCATGTGATTCACGCCCAACTGCATCTCGAAGCCATCCTTTGTGTGCGACCGGGGACAGCGCATGACCCCAGCATTGTTGATGAGTACATTCAGCGTTTTCTGTTCCCGTTTAAAGCTGCAAGGACAAAGCATTGAGGAAATGTGAATCACATATACTTCAACTGAGTGCATACGCGGCCACAAAATTCCGAATCGAGTCCAGGGAAGCCAAGTCGCATTCACGGCAGTAAACGTATTTGTTTTTGGTCTCCAGCACAATCTCCTCACGTGCCTCCTCGCACTTCTTCATGTCTCGGCATGCCATGTAAACGGTGGCTCCCCGTTTCGCCAATTCCCTGACCGTCTCCTTTCCAATTCCACTGTTTGACCCCGTCACAATGATGACTTTTTCCGTTTCGTCGGTCTCCTTTGTGAATTGGCCGCCTTGCATAAGGTCTCTGCAAGAGTAAACGCAATCAAACCCGGCAATTTATAAATGAATGTGGGGAAACCAGACTTTATGGCGCAGGCGGCGCCTACCGTAGTTCCGGTGACGCTCAGCCAGAAAATGGGGCGACTCTTTAGGAACGAGAATAACGTCATTTCAGTAATATAATTAGCTACACAATTCAACAAACGCTATCTATGGACATTAAAATAAACACAAACAGCTGTTTGTGAACACTGGTATATATCGATAGGTTTAATCATCTGTCTCTGTTTTCAAGTGTTTGTTGTTGGTGTGTGGCTGGAAATATTCTTTACACTTCATTTATATACATAAGCTAATTAATTGGTTTATCGGAGGCATCACAACCGCTTAGCAAGGAAGAGTCACTGCAGCAGCATCCAAGACGTTGCTGAGAAGGAAACCAACCCTCCGCGAGAACTAAGGCAGCTATGCGACGCAATGTGTAAGAGTCAGCCGCCAACACGACGACTGTTGCTTCGAGTGTCAACAAAATAAAATGTACATAGTATGACGCGGGCTTTGTCTTTCAGGCGCAACCAAAATTACAACTGGGACGATCCAGATCCGGACAATGTGGAGGATATCTTCGCGAGGCCAGCCTACGACGATGATGAGTTTGTCAACCTGGTGCCGTTGGGACACAGACCGAACGGGCACGCGAGGCTGGCTCGCTACGAGAACACGCTGGAGGTAAACGTGCAAGAAGGCGACACCTTACAGGCGTTGGCCCTCAGATTTCATTGTTCCGTGGCCGATATCAAGCGCCTGAACATGATAGACCGCGACAATGAGATACACGCACATCGCATCATACGCATACCCGTAACAGTGCACAATGTTCTCCTGGGAAATGGAGTACAAGATGCTCTGCCAGCCGTGCACAGAAGCGGCAACAACAGTCCAAGGCATACCATAGAGCGTGAGCCTGCCATTGAACGCAACCCACTGGAGGACGCTCGCCATATGTTGGACGAAAGACTCCTTGTGGCAGCAGTAAATGCATCTGGCTCTGTGGACGACGAACAACCATCAACGAGCAAAGCGGCAAGTAATTACTACGAGGGAGCTCATGGATCTCCTAATGATGAAGGTGAGTCCATGCCCTTGATAATTTGACATCATATTCACGGTAGAAATAGCCCCCTGGTCACTAGGGAACCGATAAGAAAGCGTTACTTTTTTAAAAATATACACCACGTACCAAATGTAATTGTATACTGTACCATGGTACAAAACAGACGAGAGACTCCATAATTGCATGACTTCTAGTGTAAATGATATACATTTTCGAAAACGTTGTGCTAGGTCCACTAGAATTGGATAAATTTATAATCGGAACTACAATATAGAACGAAATTGCAGGCAGCAAGAAACTGGCCTAGCAATTTGTCTTCAAGCTTCCTGCGTGGGAGAAAATAACATCAAACTGGGAACTAGGCTTCCGAACAAATTATGTTTTGTTTTTGCAAATTTGGCAGTTTTTGAATGGTTTTTTGATTTTAGTGTTGAAAAATACCACATTCTGTGTTAGTGCTGTTAAATAATTGAAGATAAAAAGTGCTGAAAAATACAGCAGTTCCAATGTTGCTTTTCGATATCGATATTGATGTAGACGAGCAATCGATGTTTCACAGCGCATTTTGCTCCCAAATTGTTTAGTCATTCTGCCTTTAAAACAAAAGAAATCATAGCTTAAGTTGCCTTTTTTGCTGTCGAAAAGTTTAAATTGAACTACAAAACAATGCCGGACTATCTGGGAGATGATCAGCGCAAAGTGAAACATGAAGAGAAGGAGGAAAAGGAAATCAAGTCGCTGGACGAAGGCGACATCGAATTACTGAAGACCTATGGCCAGAGCCAGTACCACAAGTCCATAAAAAACATCGAGGAAGACATTCAAAAGGCTGTGAAGCAGGTCAATGAGTTGACTGGCATCAAGGAGAGCGACACAGGGCTGGCACCTCCTGCGCTCTGGGATCTGGCTGCTGATAAGCAAATATTGCAGAATGAGCAACCGCTTCAGGTGGCTCGTTGCACGAAAATCATTAACGCTGATACGGATGACCCGAAGTACATTATCAACGTGAAGCAGTTTGCCAAGTTCGTCGTGGACTTGGCCGATTCGGTGGCCACCACCGATATTGAGGAAGGAATGCGTGTGGGTGTTGATCGCAACAAATACCAGATCCACATACCGCTGCCGCCAAAGATTGATCCAACTGTGACGATGATGCAGGTGGAAGATAAGCCGGATGTGACCTACAGCGATGTGGGCGGCTGCAAGGAGCAGATTGAGAAGCTGCGTGAGGTTGTGGAAACGCCACTGCTTCATCCCGAGAAATTCGTCAACTTGGGCATTGAGCCGCCCAAGGGCGTGTTGCTGTTTGGCCCGCCTGGTACTGGCAAGACACTCTGTGCTCGAGCCGTGGCCAATCGCACGGATGCCTGCTTCATCCGCGTCATCGGTTCAGAGCTGGTGCAAAAGTATGTCGGCGAGGGAGCACGTATGGTGCGTGAGCTGTTCGAGATGGCGCGCTCCAAGAAGGCTTGTCTCATATTCTTTGATGAAATCGATGCGATTGGCGGAGCCCGATTCGACGATGGTGCTGGTGGTGACAACGAGGTGCAGCGTACTATGTTGGAGCTTATCAATCAGCTAGATGGCTTCGATCCTCGTGGCAACATCAAGGTTCTGATGGCCACCAACAGACCTGACACTCTGGATCCAGCGTTAATGCGTCCCGGCCGTCTGGACCGTAAGGTGGAGTTCGGTCTGCCTGACCAGGATGGCCGCTCGCACATCTTCAAGATTCACGCTCGCTCCATGTCCGTGGAACGTGACATTCGTTTTGATCTGCTGGCCCGTCTCTGCCCCAACTCAACGGGCGCTGAGATTCGCTCAGTCTGCACGGAAGCCGGCATGTTTGCCATCCGTGCACGTCGCAAGGTGGCGACCGAGAAGGATTTCCTCGAGGCCGTCAACAAGGTTATCAAGAGCTACGCCAAGTTCAGCGCCACCCCACGCTATATGACCTATAATTAAGATTATTTTTATTGGCTCTATTTTGTATCCACTGAAGGAGCAGCTGTTGAAGAAAACAACATATCCTTCAACTGGCAATTAATTAAATAAAACAAAAAGTATACCTCCGGATGTTTGGCTCGATAGCATTACAAAATATTTAATTGTTCTCCGCTAATAAGAGCTAATAACTTTCTTTATTTTGCAAACTCTAATACAGCCAATATGGAGCGACCGCCGGACGACAGTGCACCTCTGCTGAACGACTTGCTGGTGGATAGGCATGCGCCTCTGGTGCGTCCCATACCGGGTCCCTCTCTGCGTGCCATCGATTGGTCCGGCTCCGACTGCGACATGTCTTGGATCTGTTTGCTGATATTCATACTCGCTCTGTGCGTCGTCATACCGTTGGTATACGTCGTCTATTTGGCGGAGCATCCACATCACAACCATAGCTCGCAGTAGCGAGACAGCACCGAAGTGATCATCATTCCAAATGTACCGGCAACAACTCGTCTGCTTCCTCTCACTCTTTGTAGCTCCATCAATCGCATTTCAAATGCAGCTGCTGGCCGTTGAATTTATTTGATATACATATAAAAACCCTGGAAATTTATATGGACTCTTTTTTTCGAAATAATAAGGACTATGTGTACTGCAATTGATTCTTTAAATTGTTCGGATTCTTGTGGGCTGTTCTTTAAGTTACTAAACGGTGCCTACACCGATGGCAAAGATCTATTTAAGTCTCTTGTGAATGCCAGTTGTAAAGACGAGCCCTTAATTCCATGTAAGATTTATTGATTATAAATATGCAACAGTTAAACACTTACGGGTAACACGTATCGTCTCTCGGTTGAAACTTTAACTAGTTCTGTTACGTCTAATAAGTACACGCATAATACATATCTTAGGGCTAAATAAATAGGATCCATGGATATAATAGTTTTTAATAATAAATACGGACTACAAGTAACAATTAAGTTAAGTACTTTGTTGTGTGTGTGTGTGTGTGTGTGTGTGTGTGTGTTTGTGTGTGAATAGGTTAGGGAATACGGGCCATGGCCATGGCACATGATTGTTTTTTGGTTACGATGCGTGAAATGCTTTACCATTGCTGTGCATATTACACAAGGAATATCCACCAATGGATGCACTTTTATCCCCTTCGTGTATTTACTTAAACTTTAAGTTCTCAAAGAAAGCAATATTGCTCCGGAGAAAACCGTGACGCACCGGAACTGGGCTCACAGGAGAGGCGATGGGTGGATTCATGGAACCGTCCGAATGCATAGATGGATCCCTGTGAGTTTGAGAAGGAACTCAGGAACGTAACATTTATCCAACTCCAAAGAGAACTTACGTTTCGAGGGATGATAAGTCAGAGGCGATCGTGGATTCATCGGCTACCTCTGCCATGGAGACGGCATGCTCCAGCTTGGGTCGTCGTGCCAGGGAGGTAGCTGGCCTGTCTGGTGAATCATGTGCTGCTGCCATTCTTACCTTGTGTCAAATTATACTCACAATATAATAAACAGATCTATGTTACAGATCCTCTTGAGCTTACCTTTGATCGCCATCGTCGCTCGGCTTGCTGGGCTTTGCTGGTGAGGAGAAAGGCTTGGGCCAGAGCTTTGACCGAGGGCATGGCATGGGCCACCTCATCTTCTACGGCGGGCTTCTCTGCGCTGGGTGTACTTGGTTCAGGCTGCCAAGCATATTTCATCAGCTGATAAAATCAACCGGTCACGCCAAAAAGTATTCACTTACCAACTCATCTTCGTCCACAGACAGCACTTGACTCGGCTCGATGAGGCGTCGCTTGGGCTGGAGAAATCGGAACGCCGGGGGTGTCGAGCCTCTTATGGGCGTACTCGCTGGCGAGCCGATGCTGGGCACCGAGTCTGAAGGGCCAAATTGTAGGACAACTGGTCGCTCACGCTTTTTGGACACTGACGCGTCTATGGAGGAAGTGGACAACGGTGCGCTCTGAGCCGACTCCATGGATGATGTCGTGGAGGAGCTTGGCTGCTGTTCCGCAGGGGCAGCTCTGATGACCGTGGTCTCCTGCTTATTGAAGTCATAGACGCGCACCGTTTCGGACTCATCGCTGGTGGTTGTCGTTGTTTGAAGGGAGTGTAGCGAAGGGTTCGACTGGGTCTCTAGGGAATCGTCCAAGACCTGAGCTGGCAAGGCCGTATAAACGTGTGCCGCAGCTGTTTCCGCTTCCTGCTCCTGCTCTATTGCAGCTTTGCTTGCGTTTTGAGCCGCCTTTTGATAGGATAATTTTGTTTGTTTCGGTAGTTGGTTTTGTGTGTTGTTGATTTAGTTGGTTTGTGTGTATTGTAGGGTTAGTAATAACGGTCAACATTCAAACGGAGAGAAGAACAATGGCCGTGTTAGTACTTATTTAATGTGTATTTATATTTGTAAGTGTGACAAAGGTGGTGGTTTTAGTGTTTCTTCGAGTAGATGTGTTGTGTGGTGGGTGTGTGGTGCGTGAGGTGTACGGGTCAAGCAGCATCATGCAAACATTCGCTTAGTAATAGTTATTCAAATGGCTTATTTCGAAACAAATGCTGTTAGTCATGTTCCACAAAAGCAACCTCAAACAGTGTAAGCGCAATTATAAATGCTAAATAAATCTCAGATCCTGTACTCACCATTCATTAGGTTGTTTGGATACTAAAAACATTTGTTTCATGGCTTGTGTTTTATTTTTATTGGTTTGCCTATAGTTTTGGCTTTATTCGGAATTAATGCATAATAAGTATGTAGGTAAATATCTCTAGGCGTGTGGAGTTGTGGTTGTTTGTTCATAAAAGATCGTTAGCAGAGTGCATACAGATACAGATACAGATACAGATTGGAGCTATGTATTGTTACGTATTATTTATTTGATAACTTTAACAGCAAAATATAATGATTAAAAAGTAAATTGTTCCGTACTCTAGGGGCATTAGCATTACATTACGTAAATATTTACTAAATAAAAGTACAAATTAGATAGGTAGATAGATAGAACACTAGCAAGGCATACCCTCATTGCTTATTGAATGTGTGTGCATTTTGGTGCGGTTGAACGGTGTAACGAATGACTCCTGACCCCGAACCTAACCCTGTGCTGGAGATTCTGTGTGCGGTCCTTCCCTTATTCTCATCACTCATTTGTGTACAGTACCTATTTGTAGAGGGAAACTCGAATTTTCTATACTGACTAGTGTTTAACATTGATTCTGACTAAGCTATGCATGGATTTGGCAAATGGAAGCTACCGACCCGACCCTATTCGACCTTCTGTCCTAACCTAACCTGTTTCCATCCTGTTTGATCTAGAAGAGTAAACTATTGTTACTGTACTTGGCATCCGCACCGCTAAAGCCGTTCAGGCAGCTATCGACCCCCGAGTCGCCCGGGTCCTCTGTCTCTGGCCTGAGCGCCAGCTTGGGGGTCTCGCTTTCGAACAGAGGATTCATCACGAAATCCTTTGAGCTGCCCGACACTGCACGGAAACTGTTGCGCTTGAGGTCCTTGTGAAGCAACTGCTTCTCGAACTGTGTGAGTACCCCGGCCGAGGGCCCGACCGGAGGCCTCTTCGAAGCCGACGAGCCGAAGGAGACCCCGCTGCCGTTGCTGTGCAGGCTCAGGCTGGACTGGGTGCGCCGCTTGGGCAGGGTGCTGGCAGAACCATAACCGAACTGGCCAATGCTGCTGCGCCAGGAGCGGTGGGAGCGGACATCAAAGTCCTCGTCGTCTACCCCTAAGCTTGTGTCTCGGTACTGGGACGCTGACGTGCAAGGGCGCTCGTAGTCGTTGATGGGGACGGGAGTTAATGAGTGGGCGGGACGCTTGTTAATGAATTTAAGCGAACTGCTACGGCGCACTGGCGTGGATAGTGTCCAATGAGAGAGGTCAGGAGCGTTACTCTGAGCGCTACTTGAAATGCGGCCATGCTGTGGTAGTGGTTCTGGTTGATTTACCTCGTTGATAACAATGTCCAGCGCCACATCCTCGGCGGGGGGTTGCCTCTCTACACTGGACGATGAAGCACACCGTCCGTTTCCGCTTACTTCTGTGCCGTTGGGGGCATTGTTTATGTAGTAGTCGCGGCTGTAGCTGTGTGATCGATGAATGGTTAGAGATGGCGACGAGTCCGGATGGGGACGAGTCTTCACTTACCGTTTGTAGTCGGTTGAGGGGGGCACAGGGTCCGGGTCGCCATCTTCAGTGAGGGCTGCGGCCAGGGCCTTCTGCTCGGCACTGGGACTGATGTTTGGCACATCCATGTAGCGCTCCTGGGTGCCGCTGATCCGCTGCTTCAGGGCCTCGGGCGCATACGGATTGTTGGGCATTTCGACGGCATTGTACCATTTCTTGACCTCGCGCTCTGCAATAGAACCTGCAAGTGGGGTGCGTGGGTTGGTTTTAGAAACAATGGGAATCATCTGAGCAGGACACATAATACGTAGACAATGTAAATAAGCTGGGCGCACACGGCAAAGGTTAAAGCAAGACCAAGCAATCAGCAGCAGCGAAAGGCAAGGAGGGGAAGGGAAAGGACAACAAACACCGAGTGATGACAGTGGTGGCCATGCCATGTCTATGGTTAGGTTACTGTTACCTGGCACAAAGCGCCGCAACAGTACAACATCATCATCATCATTCACGTCGTTTTGTTGGGCCACCAGTTGGCCACCATTCGGGAGTGCGATGGCACAGGCACCCGCCTTCTTCGACCATCTCAGGGAACCATTTGTTAGTTTGCCGTTAGTGCGTCTACTCGGATTTGTGGGGTTAGTTGTGGTTGTGGTTTCAGTGTGAGTGGAATGTGTGTTAGAGTTAGAGTTGGTGTTGCTGTTGGAAGTGTAAGTGTTTGTCCTAGACGTGCGCTCGTCCAAAACTAGAACTCTCTGGCTAACGAACTCCTGTTCAGAGTCGCCGTCTCCGTTGAAGGTCTCACAGCTAGTGGACGGCGCACTCTCATCGCTGTGATTCGACTCTGAACTTAATTGATCTGAGAAGAGAATTGCGTTAATGAAATTATACGAGATTTCACTCAAACTATTTACAATGATGGAATCAGTCTCTACATCTAAGTCTATGTCCTTATCATCTCCCATATCACAGAATGTTTCACTGCTACGAACAGTCCCTGACCTTAATGGATCCTCTAACTGAACTGAGTGCAATTCGGTGGATCCCACATAGTGTGGGCCTTTAGGAATTGAAGACTCTATGATATCTACCCTAGCAGTTTGGCAGCCAGCGGCAGCGGTTCTGACTTGGCTATTGGATTCTCTACTGGAAACTAAACTATCATCGTCATGCATGTGCAATTCGTCAAAGAGGCTGGGATGGGTCTCGTAAACATCATCTATGGTGTCCTCCATAGAGTCGAAGGAGCTCAGGTATTTGTGCATGATCAGAGCGCGTCGACGTCTGCGTTCGATTGTTGCCAATAGTCGTTTGTCTTTTATGTAAAACTTGCAAATGGTCCCCAAGAGGTTTACAGGCTCGGCTTTCGCTGCCGCGTCTCCATCGCTCGGTGTTGTGTCAGGAATGTTCGGCTGTCTTCGAAGGCACTTTTGTGTCGCTTTACCTAGAGCGGAACCATCGCTCTTAGAGTGTTCTACGAACGATTGCGCTGGAACACATTCCGACGTAGGTTCGATTTCCACTGCAGCCGGAGGATTCACAGCCACAGTTTCTGCTTCCAGAATGATTTCCACTGCAGCTGAAGGATCCACAGGTGTGGTTTCAGATTGTGAAATGATTTCCACTTCCGCTGGAGGATCAACAGCCAAGGTTTCTGTCTCCGGAATCACTTCCACTGCTGCTGGAGGATCCACAGGCTCGGTTTCTGCTTCCAGAATGATTTCTACTGCAGCCGGAGGATCCACAGCCACAGTTTCTGCCTCCAGAATGATTTCCACTGCAGCCGGAGGATCCACAGCCACAGTTTCTGCTTCCAGAATGATTTCCACTGCAGCTGAAGGATCCACAGGCTCGGTTTCTGTCTCCGAATATATTTCCACTGCCGTTGGAGGATCAACACCTACGGTTTCTATCGCCGGAATGGTCCCAACTGCAGCTGGAGAATCCACAGCCACGGTTTCTGTCTCTGGAATGATTTCCACTGCAGCCGAAGGATCCACAGGTGCGATAATAGGCTGTGAAATGATTTCCACTGCAGCTGGAGGATCCACAGCCACAGTTTCTGCCTCCAGAATGATTTCCACTGCATCTGGAGGATCCACAGGTGTGGTTTCAGATTGTGAAATGATTTCCACAGTAGCCACGGTTTCTGTCTTCGGAATTATTTCCACTGCAGCCGGAGGATCCATAGGTGCTGTTTCAGGTTGTGAAATGATTTCCACTTCCGCTGGAGGATCAACAGCCAAGGTTTCTGTCTCCGGAATCACTTCCACTGCTGCTGGAGGATCAACAGACCCGGTTTCTCTCTCTGGAATGATATCCACTGCAACTGGAGAATCCACAGCCACGGTTTCTGTCTCTGGAATGATTTCCACTGCAGCTGGAGGATTCACAGGAACGGTTTCTGTGTCCGGATATATTTCCACTGCCGTTGGAGGATCAACACCTACGGTTTCTATCGCCGGAATGGTCCCAACTGCAGCTGCAGAATCCACAGCCACGGTTTCTGTCTCTGGAACGATTTCCACTGCAACTGAATGATCCACAGCCACGGTTTCGGTCTCCGGAATGATTTCCACTGCAGCTGAAGGATCCACAGGCACGGTTTCAGTTTCTAGAATGATTTTCACTGCAGCTGAAGGATCCACTAGCACGGTTTCAGTTTCTGGAATGATGTTCACTGCAGGCGGAAGATCCGCAGGTGTGATTTCAGACTGTGAAATGATATCCACTGCAGCTTGTGGATCAACACCTACGGTTTCTGTCTCCGGAATGATTTCCACTGCACCTGGATGATCCACAGACACGGTTTCGGTCTCCGGAATGATTTCCACTGCAGTAGAAAGTACCACAGCCACGATTTCTGTCTCTGGATTGAATTTCCCTGCAGCCGTAGGGTCCACAGGTGCAATTTCTGGCTGTGAAATGATTTCCACTGCAGCCGGAGAATCCACAGGTACGGTTTCTGTCTCTGGAACGATTTCCACTGCAGCCGGAGGGTCCACAGGTATGGTTTCAGATTGTGAAATGATTACCACAGCAGCCACGGTTTCTGTCTTCGGAATTATTTCCACTGCAGCTAAAGGATCCGCACTCTCGGTTTCTGTCTCTGGAATGATTTCCACTGCCGTCGGAGGATCCACGGGTGCTGTTTCTGCCTTCGAAAGAATTTCCACTGCAGCTGAAGGATCTACAACCACGGTTTCGGTCTCCGGAATGATTTCTACTGCAGCTGAAGGATCCACAGAAACGATTTCAGTCTCTGTAATGATTTCCACTGCTGGCGGAGGATCCACATGTGTGGATTCAGATTTTGAAACGATTTCCACAGCAGCCACGGTTTCTGTCTTCGGAATTATTTCCACTGCAGCTGGTGGATCCGCAGTCACGGTTTTGGTCTCTTGAATGATTTCCACTGCAGTCGGAGGATCCACAGGTGCTGTCTCAGGTTGTGAAATGATTTCCACTGCAACTGGAGAATCCAGAGCCACGGTTTCGGTCTCTGGAACTATTTCCACTACAGAAGGACGGTCCACAGGCGCAATTTCAGGCTGTGAAATGATTTCCACTGCAGCTGAAGGATCGACAGGCTCGGTATCGGTCCCAGGAAAGAATTTCGCAGCAGCTGGACAATTCACCGCCATAGTTTCTGTCTCCGGAATGATTTCCGCTGCAGATGGAGAATCGACAGCCACGGTTTCTGTCTTTGGAATGATTTCCACTTCAGCCGGAGGGTCCACAGGTGCAATTTCTGGCTGTGAAATGATTTCCACTGCACCTGGATGATCCACAGCCACGGTTTCGGTCTCCAGAATGATTTCCACTGCAGCTGGAGGATCCACAGGTGTGGTTTCAGATTGTGAAATGATTTCCACTGCAGCCGGAGGATCCACAGACACGGTTTCGGTCTCTGGAACGATTTCCACTGCAGCCGGAGGGTCCACAGCCACAGTTTCTGCCTCCAGAATGATTTCCACTGCAGCCGGAGGATCCACAGCCACAGTTTCTGCTTCCAGAATGATTTCCACTGCAACTGGTGGATCCACAACCACGGTTTCCGACTCTGGAATTGTTTCCACTGCAGTAGGAGGATCCACAGCCACGGTTTCTGTCTCTGGAATGATTTCCACTGCTGCCGGAGGATCCACAGGCGCTGTTTCAGGTTGTGAAATGATTTCCACTGCAGCCGGAGAATCCACAGGTACGGTTTCAGTCTCCGGAATGATTTCCACTGCAGTAGGAGGATCGACAGCCACGGTTTCTGTCTTTGGAATCAAATCCACTGCAGCCGGAGGATCCACAGGTGCGATTTCAGGCTGTGAAATTATTTTGGTTTTGGTCTCGGGAATGATTTCCACTGCAGCCGGAGGATCCACAGCCACGGTTTCTGTCTGTGGAATGATTTCCACTGCAGTAGGAGGATCCACAGCCACGGTTTCTGTCTCTGGAACGATTTCCACTGCAGCCGGAGAATCAACAGTTCTGGTTTCCGACTCTGGAATTGTTTCCACTGCAGCCGGAGGATCCACAGCCACGGTTTCTGTCTCTGGAATGATTTCCACTGCAGTCGGAGGATCCACAGCCACGGTTTCTGTCTGTGGAATAATTTCCACTGCAGCCGGCGGATCCACAGGTGCTGTTTCTGTCTTCGGAAGAAGTTCCACGGCATCTGGTGGATCCACAGCCACGGTTTCGGGCTCCGGAATGATTTCCACTGCAGTAGGAGGATCCACAGGTGCTGTCTCAGCTTGTGAAATGATTTCCAATGCAGCTGGAGGATCGACAGGCACGGTTTCTGTCTCTGGAATGGCTGCCACTGAAGCTGGAGGATCCACAGCCATAGTTTCTGTCTCTGGAATGATTTCCACTGCAGTCGGAGGATCCACAGCCACGGTTTCTGCCTTCGGAATGCTTTCCACTGCCGCCGGAGGGTCCTCAGGTGCGGTGTCTGTCTGCAAAACACTTTCCACTGCAACTGGTGGATCCACAACCACGGTTTCGGTCTCCGGAATGATTTCCACTGCAGTAGGAGGATCCACAGCCACAGTTTTGGTCTCTGGAACGATTTCCACTGCAGCCGAAGGGTCCACAGGTGCGATTTCAGGCTGTGAAATGATTTTGGTTTTGGTCTCGGGAATGATTTCCACTGCAGCCGGAGGATCCACAGCCACGGTTTCTGTCTCAGGAATGGTTTCCAGTGCAGCTGGAGGATCCACAGCCACGGTTTCTGCCTCTGGAATGCTTTCCACTGCCGCCGGAGGGTCCACAGGTGCGGTCTCTGTCTGCAAAACACTTTCCACTGCAACTGGAGGATCCACAACCACGGTTTCCGACTCTGGAATGATTTCCACTGCAGTAAGAGGATCCACAGCCACGGTTTCTGTCTCTGGAACGATTTCCACTGCAGCCGGAGAATCAACAGTTCTGGTTTCCGACTCTGGAATTGTTTCCACTGCAGCCGGAGGATCCACAGCCACGGTTTCTGTCTCTGGAATGATTTCCACTGCTGCCGGAGGATCCACAGGCGCTGTTTCAGGTTGTGAAATGATTTCCAGTGCAACTGGTGGATCCACAACCACGGTTTCGGTCTCCGGAATGATTTCCCCTGCAGCCGGAGGATCCACAGGTGCTGTCTCAGGTTGTGAAATGATTTCCGCTGCAGCTGGAGCATCAACAGCCACGGTTTCGGTCTCTGGAACGATTTCCACTACAGAAGGATGGTCCACAGGTGCAATTTCAGGCTGTGAAATGATTTCCACTGCAACTGGTGGATCCACAACCACGGTTTCGGTCTCCGGAATGATTTCCACTGCAGTAGGAGGATCCACAGCCACGGTTTTCGTCTCTGGAACGATTTCCACTGCAGCCGGAGGGTCCACAGATGCAATTTCAGGCTGTGAAATGATTTCTGCAGCTGGAGGATCGACAGCCACGGTTTCTGTCTTTGGAATCAAATCCACTGCAGCCGGAGGATCCACAGGTGCGATAATAGGCTGTGATATTATTTTGGTTTTGGTCTCGGGAATGATTTCCACTGCAGCCGGAGGATCCACAGCCACGGTTTCTGTCTCAGAAATGGTTTTCAGCGCAGCTGGAGGATCCACAGCCACGGTTTCTGCCTCTGGAATGCTTTCCACTGCCGCCGGAGGGTCCACAGGTGCGGTGTCTGTCTGCAAAACACTTTCCACTGCAGCCGGAGAATCAACAGTTCTGGTTTCCGACTCTGGAATTGTTTCCACTGCAGCCAGAGGATCCACAGCCACGGTTTCTTTGTCTGAAATGATTTCCACTGCTCTCAGATTATCTAATGGTAGCAACTGGTCAACGAAGGCAGAATTCGGTATCACTGCGTTGTCCTGGGGCGCTGTCGTTTCGATGGAATTGCAGGGATTGCAAAATGTTTGAGCCGGTCGGGTGTGGTCGGTGCGTATTGTTGGATTGGCATGTACAGTGGGCGGCTCTGAGCCACAGACTGTTGAGGGAAATAATTCGATTGTCTCCTCTTCTATGATGTCAAGTGAATGGTGCGCAAGGTCCATTGTTCGAGCGTTTATTTCGGCGAGCGCCAAGTCACTTAGCTCCTTCAGTGTATGCATCTCACTGGGTGTCATGACGCCAGGCTGCTCCGAGGCTGGGACCGCTAGCATCGGCCCCAAGGCAATGGCGGCCAGTATCTCGATGACTGAGGGTGTGGTCTCGCGCATCTGCTCCTCGTCGATGTACTCGACTGTGCTGTAACCGGTGCAGCCTTCGAGGCTGGCCAGTTCGTCAGTTTCAGTTTGGGCTGCAACACAAACGACTGCTAAATGTCGATGCTTCAAGATCGGGCACAGATCAGGGCTGAGGTTCTACATAAACTGAAGGGTTTCCGGTGTCCCGGGTGTCAAGCAGCTAGGATGGAATCAACTTGTATCTGGGACACTCTAGGATGCTCTTGGTCTAATCAGAGGCGGTGGTCGACCCAATGTTAAGGATGGCAAGGGTGAAGTTCTACGTTTAAGGCAAACACATATGCATGTGGAGGTGACAATTACCTGCAATGGGAGTCTGGACCAGGTCCTCGTTCAGTGAGTCATCTTGGAACACCACGGGTGGCGGGGGTGCAACTACACTCTCCGATGGCCCGGCCGTGGAGGCTATGACGAATGTGTTTGTGGTTTCGGTAAATGCGGGCTCGTGCTCCTCCGGGAGGGTTTGGGAGGTCAGGCTGCTGCGATCCACGAGCTCGTCTAGCACAAGTTTTGTGTTCTGACCACCGATGAGATGCTTGCTCAGCAGGCGATCGTTAAGCTCGTTGCAGCGCAACAAGTCCAGCGGGTTGTCCTCCGCATCCGATCCCAGCTCAGACAGATCGCTGACCTCGTCTGCTGTCCTGTCGCCAATTTGGGCTCGTACATGCTCCTTGGGAGCCGGCACCAGCATGCCTATGCTGCTCGGTGTGGCCGAGCTTTGCATGGAGCTGCGTTTCTTCTTGAACAGCCAGTTATCCTCCCAGGTGCCATCGCCGATCATGCTCGAGGAGATTGATCCGACGTCTGAAAGGGAATGGAGAAACGTAGAGCGGAGAGCGGAGAGCGGAGAGTTGTCCATCACTTACCATCCTCCGATTCGGTAACAGATGCCGAGAAGTCCGGAAGGGGTACCATGTGTGCGGCTATGTAATCACTCAACACCGATTCACGCTCCAATTCCACTTGCAGGGATTGCGATTTGCCAGCCTGGAATGAGGGAGCGATGAGCGTGACAATGAGCCAGGACAGGTGGCTGTTGGGACTTACATCCAGTTCTAACTCATGGTCGGTGAGGCTGCAGTCGCTTCGGGGCTCAATGGAACTACCGGACGTGGTGCTCAACGCTTCGGCATTGTAATTCTCATCAATGAGGTGACCACTCAGGTCCGGTGTGCTCTCCGATACCAACCGCGTGTTCCCATCTTTGTCGGCAATCTGTGGCGAAGAAGACAACTAAATTTAGTCTATTAACCTTGACATTGGGGCAGCAAAGTGTTGTTGAACCCCAAAGAGCAGTCGTGTGTGTCCCCTGAGCAGATTAGACCCCACCATGTCCATTTCCATTTCCATTTCCATTCAGACACTGCTCGCAACGTCATCGATTATTAGCAAATTCTCTTATCGATCGTATGCAGGGACAGTGACAATGTCGGATTGCTGTCCACGTTGCCGAAACAATGTCGATTGTGAAGTTTTGGGGAGTTCGGGGAACTGGCGATAAGGTTGAGGATATTCCGATTAGAGTTGAATACGTAATCGTAAGCTGAGTCATGCATTTGGCTTGACACACACATTGCCACACACATTGCATCATAGAGAATATTTACTTTGTCCCCGGAGTCCTCCATTGTCCTGTAAGGTACACTGTACTTGGGCCTGTTAAGTTGTTCCAGAAAATAGATCTATGTATATCCAATTAGCGTCGTGATTGATTTTCCTCTTTAGTCTACTATTGTCTGCTGCTGCTGCTGCTGCTGCTGCTGCTTGAAGAAAACGTCTTTACAGTCGAGACATTGAGCTGCAACTAATTAGCGTGGACTGGCTTTGGTTCATCGGTGTCGTGTCGTGTGTGGCAACTGGACAATCGAAGCCGCCCAAGTGCGGGTTCAATGAAAGCGAAATCGGGCTCGAAGTGCGCGTGGCGGAAGTGGCCAGAACACGATAGAGGGACAGTGCTCTAGGGCTTACAAGACACTCGAGCAGGGAGGCAGGCATGGTGTGGTCATGTGTGGCACCACAGGTGGCACAGTGCAGCCTCTGGGCTCTGGGCTTACCTTGTTCAGCACCGCTGTGGCCAGCAGATCCTGATAGATCTTCGGCTCGAAGTAGTGCTCCGTGCGATGGCGTCGCTTCATCCCGTTCCCGCCATTGCTCGGCAGCTCGCCGGCCAGCGAGCGGCTGGTGTCCAGGCTGATCTCCGAGACGGCTCCACTCACGCTCAGCGCACTGCTGCGCAGCGTCTCTGCTATTATGGTCTCGATGAGACTGCGTAGACGGGTCTGTGAGATCTCTGCCAGAGAGTCAGCATCCCCATTGTTATTGTTGTTGTTGTTGTTGTTGTTGTTTCTGGTTGGACTCAGGTTGTTGCTGCCATTGACAATGGCCGGCAGATCTGAAAGTACGCATTGTCAAGTCAATAAATTGGCCAAGAATGCTGGCTGGCCAAAACTACGATGCTACTAGCTGAGTGCTTGGTTAGCCAAGTTCGATACAATAAAAGTGAAAATTAATTTACTTCTAAGCGTGCTCATATGAAAGTCAAAGAAAGTATGGAAGTGAGTGTACATAAATATATGTGTGTGTATGTATAGGCCATACCTAGTTTCACCTCAATGACGTAAACAACGTAGAAGACAATTACGGCCAGAACGGCATACACGCCGGTGATTAGGCCCAAAGTAAAGTCCATGCTAGATGCATATGTACATATGTACAAGTATGAACTGGAGTCTCGGGCTGTGTATTGGTATATGCGATCCAGACGATATTGCTGAGTCGCAGGTATTGGTTATTATTTTTGTATTTGTTTGTTTGTTTGTTTGTTTGAGTACTCCGTGTTTGGGTTTTGGGTTTTGTTTGGCGTTTTCATTGACATAACTGCCCGTCGAGCTGTTAATTACTACAAATAAATATTTAAGCTCTGCTTTCGTATTGTTTTATCCCCCCCACATCATTGTCAAACATGCACATAAACCGAGCATCGCTTGCCCCCCCGAGCCACTCATGCTGAAAATCGCGAATACTTATGAATACATATTCATCATTCTCCCTTTGACATGTTAAGTCTATAGTCGCTTTGCGGTAAATTCCCCAACATACATATAATAAATAATGATTGGCCCGAAGCTATCTATTTTGCGTTACAATGCCGCCCATATTTCTTTATCGGCCCAACAACTCTGACAAACAACTCACTCGGCGGCTGCCCGACTGAATGGTCTGAACTATGGTGGGGCTGTCTAGTCCGGGCTCTGCCGTTAGTCATTCAGGTGTGCACAAAATGCCAAAGATAGAAACTGTCCCCCATTCAAAACAAACATTCGCATGCGAGTCATCGGTGAAAATAACACCGGAATAAAACAGGCCGAGAACCAGACCCAGACCCAGACCCAGACCCAGACGGATAACTTCTGATCAAAGTTCAGGGTTCAGCGCAAATCACTTGGGTATTTACTCAATTACTTGAGTAATCACACTTAATTTCATTTTTAAATATGCTTAACGCTTAGCCCTGCGTCGCGTTCAAGGGGCTTGATAACTCTCCATCGGATCAGATGGGGTGTCGCGATGCCGACTTCCTGCGATAAGTTGGGTGATCGGATTGGCTAAGGTCAAAGGTAAACTACAGCGTTAAAGGCACACAGGCACGTGTTGAAAGTTCACGAACATCAGCGGAAAATAATGGATGTTGTTGTTGTTGTTAATCTCAGGTTGGATTGCACACAGATTGGAGCTACAAGCGGGACTCGGGATCATTAATATTGATTAGCGCTGATTGAGGTCTCTTTCTCGCGTCTTGCCTGTTTTACCTCACGATTATCGCGATTATCGACTTGCGTTTCAACTGTCTTCTTGTCTTCAATTTCTGCCAGCTGGGTTCGGGTCAAGGTTGACGGTAACTCACAAGTAGCTGAATCCGAACTCATCTGGCAGCTTCTTCGCGTTATCTCTGCTCTGACGCAGGTCTATTTCTGGCTGCTGGCCAAAAATTCTTCAAGCTATCATACAATATCAAATTGAATATGTTATCACCAGCACCCCCGTTTAGACGGAATCTTCTGTCTCTGTGTGTGTGTGTGTGTGCGTGTACCCGGAGCTCGATTAACGTTACGATCACGGCGCGACGCTTCTGACAAATGAAGCGGTTCCGTGCGATTGTCGAGCGTCTAACCGCTCACTTAGCCCCACTCTCGCACACACGCACACTGACTCTCCTAGGTCTACATACAGACAGAAATATGGTGTATGTATGGGGGGACCCTACAGCTGGCGATCTTGGGTGTTTCGGCACTCTCCGAGACTCTCCTCTTGGCCAACAGTTGAGCTTTGATTTGGGATTTACATGCACGCTGGCTGCCGCTGCCTCGCCTAAAATTAGTGAATATTAGACGCCTGGCTCGGAGCGTGACGCTGTCAATCAATTGCCAAGACAGAGGGCCTCCTCATGAGCATAAATGAATGGCCATGTAAGCTGTAAATTTACACCACTGGTGTAAATCACTTGGTGATCAACGCATGTACGGTGCGTATGATTAATGTGTATCTCGGTCTGTCATTTGGTTACAGCACTTGTACAGCGCCTGCAAGGTGCTGTCGGCACTTGAAAAGCTAAAGCACCTTATCAGAGCTACATATGTGTGCTTGTACATATAGCCTTATCTGACCGCGATTCGCGACTGTCGGCCCGAGTGCCCATGTGTGAGAGAGATTGCTCATTTCGGCTCTCAATTTGTAGAATGATAAGTCAGTGCGACTGAGGCTGGCAGGCAGTTCGACTGGCATTGAATATAAAAGCTCCAATCATTGATTCATGGATTTATTTTATGGCATTTGTGGGCGAATGAGGGAATTCTCCGACACTCCGACTGTTACATACTCGTATTTGGGGCAAGGCTACTCAAGGCTACCAACTCAACACAAAATACATGTAGATACAGTTACTGGTAGCAGGTTACAGGTTACAGGTTGCAGGTTGCAGGATCGAGAGGTTAGATTACATTCAAAACGATTACATTGCATTCGCTCGACCGCTGATTGCTCGACTACTCGATTACTTACCTCCCTTAAGCAGGTCGTTCTCCACATTGATAAGCAGGTTCGAAAGTTTTGCATGAAATTTGTGGAAGAATTGCAAGTCTGCGTTGCATTTGCATGTGTGAGTGATAGTGTGAGTGTGTGTTTCGCTTAGATAAAAAGTTTAACGAAAGCGTCGCCCAAAAGTATGCAGTGAACTTTCGCTGGCCAGCAACATGTGTGTTGCCAGCAGCAAATGTTGCCAGTCCCGATGAACACAAATGTTGCCCGACCAATTGAATCTTTTTTGCAAATTGGAAATTGAATGCACTGAACTGACAATTGCATTTGCTCTAATCAAATCGCTGACAATCTGAGCAGAGCAGCAGCAGCAGCAGGCTGTACTTACAGTTTTCACTTTTGGACAATTGCCCCACTTTGATGTGATCCAGATTGCCGCCCAGCATCTCGGCGACGATTTCCTCCACATACGCACGTATCTTGGCTCGCTCGTCCAGATGTATGCTCTGCCCAACCTGGCTGACGCTCTCAATGTCTGCAAGGGAGCAAAGTGTGGCATGCTATCAGTGCAATGGGAATAATTTTAGTGGGTTTCTGCTTACGCATTGTGCTGTCGTTGCCATCGCCAGAGATGGGTATGTAGACCTCGCTTCGGGCCCGCATTGGGTAGACGAGCTTGTGCTGGTTAAAGGACATCTGCTCCGCCACCCAGGAGGAGGTGTGGGCCAGCGACTCCTTGGAGCTGTGGCACAGCTGGCACTCCCACTTGGCATCCTTCGGCCGCCAGTCTGCGCACTTGGGGCCGCGGCACACCAGCTTCCCGCACGTACAACATGTCACATAGCTGGAAGGAGACAGATCGATCGATCGAAGCTCCTCACTGAGGGACTTAGCGGTGGACTTACGTTTTGGGACTGGTCTGCTCCAAGTCTGCACAGCAGACATTGCAGCTCTGCTCCTCGCTGGCCTCCTCCTTCTTCCACTTCCTGTCGGCTATTTTACTGGAAATAATTCATAGAACACGGAGAATGTTCGGTTAGTTCGAGTCACGGCGATTAGTCAGGTCAGTTCTGCCGAATCGCAGGGGTTGTTCAACCAGCAGAAGGTCAGGTCAAGATAAACAAACTGTTGAGAAACATGAGGAAATCAAGCAACCAATTAGGTTGGCAGTCAGCCGACAGAGACAATTAGCGCCTGCTCGCTTGATAATTTTGCATCTTCCCCGTTCTCCCACAGACATGTGGGACATGTGTACGAGTGAGTGTAAGAGGCCCCCCATTCCCGCCATTTGGGGCAATGGACTTTCTCTCACTTGACGCCTATGCCACCTGGCAGATTGCATAAGCGGAGGAAAGCCGGAGGAAAAACCAGTTGGACCAGGGGCAAGCAATCGAAACATCGGTTCAGTCGAGTTTAGTTTTAAGGCCAGATTTATTCGCGTCACTTAGGATCTAGGTATCAAATAACTAAACATATCACACGGCTTACAAGCTACTCTCGTACGAGATGTGCAATCAGTTCGCGCAGGAACAAGTTAAGAAGGCATCGCCTCTGATCTGACTGACTCTTGTAACATACATTTATTCGTATCGTATCCATTCACGAGTCGTCGTGTTTTGTTGTGGTAGTTGTTGTGGCACAACGTGCTCAAAATTGACAATCAATCACAAACAATTTGGTTAACTTATTCAAATGAAATGTCTGGCTTGGCAATCGCTTACAAACGAAACCATAAACAAGAAAACAAAAACATTACAAACTCTCTCTCTCCTATACACCATATAATTTCGAAAAACAAAGGCAAACCAGTCATAACCGATTCCCAACCGATTTCAAATTCCGTATCTAAATAATCAGCTGCTGCTGCTGCTGCTGCTGCTGCTGCTGCTGCTGCTGCTGATGTTGCTGCTGCCTCTGATGGAAACGCATCCGTCGGCGTGCCCAGTGCTCGTAGTTGTTGCCGAGATTCTCATAGTAGATCTGCTCCTCGGACTCGTCGTCGCCGGCCTCGTCCCCGTCCCCGTCCCCGTCGTCGGGAGGCCGCCCGAACACCGGATCACTGGTGGTTGTCTTCAGCAGAACCACCTCCATGGCGCAGGCCATGAAGAGGAAGGCGAACACGGCAAAGCTGATCGGCATGCAGAGCAATCTCTCCACTTGGCACACCACCACGGACGCGAGCAACATTCTCTCTCACCCTTTTCCGGAGGGTTATATAGCTTCGATGGATTCTCGGGGGTTCGGAGTTGTTTGGTTTTGGTTTAGTCTTGGGGTTTTTAGTGTGGTAGATCTCTCTCTCTCTCTCTCTCTTTTGTGTTTTGTGTTTTGTGTTTTATGTGAATGTCATGAGATGTTTGGTGCTTTGTTTGCTTTGATTTGGCATGGCACTCGAATTGAACTGTTTTCGCCGATTTGCATGTACAATGTTCTAGTCTGGGAGCACATTAATTTGGATGATTCGGCGCACTCCGACACTGACAACTTTCTCGGACAAGGTTTGCCTTTGTTGTGCTGTGCGCAGTCGGTTGGCTCTGTGCGGGCAACAGCTGAGACCCGACCGAGGCTCAGTCGAAGCGTTGCTCATACGCCATGCCGGTTTCATGACTCTGGGGAGAGAGAGAGAGCAGCATGCCCAGACCTGAAGAGAGCGAGAGAGAGTGGCATAGAGCGAGAGAGTGGGTAAACATTCAGACAGGCTGGCTGGCTGGCTGGCTGGCTGGCAGCAAACTCGTTAATGACGTAAGATTCAATTGTAGACTCTGGAGAAGAAGACCTTACATTTCCGTACACCGCCACCCCCCCCTGGCTGGAAAAGCAACCCAACGGGTCTACGTATCGGAATCAGCCGTGACTAGGCATATTTCCCTGCCCATCTATCGGCTTTCTTCCATGATTGATCCCCAAGCCAGCAACCAAGTAGATATCTGGTCAAGCAGGAACCGTTTCGGGCCCCATACCCATACCCATACCCATACCCGTATGCATATGCATTCATTTGTCTGTAAATTAATTTTTGGCAATCTTTTTTAGCTGTGTCTCGGCCTGAACTTCATTAATTTCCAAATGCTAATTGTGAGAAACATTCCGCAAACGAGTTTGCCTCCGATATTGTCTGGCAATTTAAATCTATGCATGCTCCGAGACGTTCAATCCTCAACAAATCAATCGAATGGTCGAACTTTATTGGAATAAACACTTCTCTGTATTCGCAAATGAATGGCGCCACACTTGGCAGAAGCAACTTTAAAGTTCACAAAAAGAAAGATGTTTCGAGAGTTCTCGAATGCGCAGATTCCACTGAAATCTGACTAAAGTATCTGGGTTAATATATACATGTAAGCTGGGAATATCCCCATTAGCATTTCGCAGCACAAAAAATCATAAAGTTGCCCTCTGGTTCTGTGCGGGTTTGCTTTATTAATGACTGAGTCGAGCGGATGAATACGAATTTTGACAAGCAAAATAATTACCCATATTACCAATTAACAATTCATTTAAAAAAGGAAACCATAGGACTCTGAAATTCGCTACAAATCGCCACAATAAGACAGTAACCTGTCTGTCTTGTTCTACAAATTTCTAGCTGAAGCATACTTTTCTTTGTACTGGAAACTTATCCAAAGATACACATGTTTGGATACTGAATGCCACCCAAGATGGAACAAGTAGAACATAACTCAGAGATCGATCATAGACCAGTATTAATAGAAATGATGAATCTTGTGCTGCCTTGGATTAGCATAGCATTAGCATGGAGTTACACATCCATACATCTTGCCGTCTATCCAGCTCCATTTCTGCGCGTCTCAATAAATTTTGGACTTTTTGTGTAATTATTTGGAAACTCTGAAAAGGTCCGTTTGTCAGTTATTCCATATTTATATGTACATAAATGTGCCTAAACATGTGTAGTATTTATGTACATATATTTGCATGTATCTAACGATACAAATTTTAAATGTGCGCGTTTAATTGCAACACAAAATCTACATGACAACTACATACATACATGCTACAGTGGCGCCAACATGAGGCTAGTTCAAAAATGTTCCGTTATTTCAAATGAAACGAACAATTCGTAACTATTTATGGAAAACCTGGATATGGATTTTGATCCCGATTTGGAGTATATATTTTTAGATGTTTATTGTTATTGTTGTTAAGACTAAACGCAGACTATACATATCTGCGTTTATGGTTTAAAAGCCACTAAGGGTGAAGTGGATCTTGGGCAATAATTGTCTTATAGCCCATAATTGACAATGGTTATGGTCTGTAACTGGCTTTGGATTACTCTCACTCTCTAAGCTGCTTTCAATTCAAGTTGCAAGTAGCTTGTCATTCAAGTTTGTCTCTGAGTAAACAAAAGGAGCGAACATATCTCTAGTCAACAAAAGAAACATAGCTTTCGTCTTTCCAGATTTAAATGCAATTTACCCTATCTCCGACCCAACTCCTATTCGTACGAGTATTTACCCATGTCGCATATCATAAGAATATTGTTAACAAAGCAGCTAATTAAGTTGCCATTGACAAGTGCTGGTGGCGAAAAGCAAACAATTGTGGGCGGATAATTGTTATTGGGACCAAGTCTTTAAAGGTGTTCGCCGGGTCTTTGACTGGAAGCGGCAGCGGCAGCGGCAGCAGCAATTCTGCTTCTGCCCTTTGTTGGGCAACGATTTCCGTTTGCCATTTGCCGCTGGCCAAATTCGTCTTGACACCAAGTCAATTCAAGGGGCAGTCTGGACAGTCTGTAAATGTTATGAAACGTCCAGCGGTACGGTTATCCATAAACCATTACAGGTGCAAAATGAAATTGTGCACCAACTCGATTTGCCACCGCTGATCCGCTGCAGTTGTTGGCCTGATGTCTCTTACGCAATTCTTAATTAAGGCGAAGCTACGTACTGGATGCCCAACTGAGATGAGGAAAGACCACAGAAAGGCAACATCAGCAGCAACAGCAAAAGCAACAGCCACAGCAGTCGCAACTGTGCCAAGCATACAAAATGGCAACAATTATGTCAAATCGCTTTTTATGCGAAATGCTTTTCCTCTGCACTTTTCTTTGCTTTCTTCGCACACGCAAACGCCATCAAGTCATGCGAAACGATGGACACGTAATCGAATTGAAGCTGCTGCAGCAGCAGCTGCATCTCGGAAAGTTCAGTTTCAGTTTCACTGCCAACATCTGCACCTGTCAGTATATGTATCTCTAGCTGTATCTGTATCTGTATCTGTATCTCTACGAGTGCATCTTCTGGCAGCACGGGGCACTTACACGGGGGAGCACACACTCATTTGGTTATCGCTATTCGATTAACTCACCCGAGGAGTCGCTGGGCGCCACATTGCAGCAGGTAGGCACCGCCGACGAGACCCACCACCGAGGTGAGGCCCAGCAGCAGGTTGGCGGCTCCAGGACGATGGATTGGCAGCTCCATGAGTCGTAGGTAGGGGCGTATCAAACGCTTGCAGCACTGAGGAGGCGACATTGTGTTTGATAGTGGTAATAGAAACGATTTCGCAGCATTTGCATTCGAAGCACACACACACGCACAGGAAGACCCCTCTTCCCCTTAATAGTTCAAACCCACGCAGCTCAAAGTTGTGTCACAACTAAAAGAGTGAAATGGCCAAGATACTCGTACATAAAACCATCGCAAATACTTTTCGATTATCAGAACAGAGAACTTCACGTACTCGGTTGGTTTGCCATACTTTGGCCTCAGGGAGCCTTATCAGAAAGTTGATTTACCAAGAGATGATATACGTAAAGGTGGATTGGCCATGTACCCTTCGTGAGGTATTTGAGTTTCGAGAAGTATTGAGTGTCCATGAATGAAAACTGAATGCAGACTTGTTGTTTTTAATCTAATCAAACATTTATTAAAACTGCAGCAACTACAGCAAAGCTCCAATCTCTTTCTACGTATAGAATTGATTAACTTTGGGGAGGGAGGGAAAGCTCTTTGGCTTTGCAGTCACGATTGAGCTTTTATTTAAGACTCTTAAGTATTTCTTTGTGTTTACTTTTTGCACATAGCGATTATCACTAATTAAAGTTGATAAATGGATGCGATGTTGAGATTCTTATCGAGAAGGTTTTGCTCAAGTGTTTCTGGCATAAAACTTCTGAGATCATTGAGGGTTGCGTAACTTCCTGGGTTGTGTGTTTGTGTGCTTCGAAACAAAGATTCTTTATTGGTTGTGTAATTCACTTCACTTGGCATCAAATTATGCAATTTTTCTTCACTTTTATTGGCTATAACTGGCCCAGGGCAGACCTCACACAGCGAACTTCACTGGGGAGTATCTGGATAAATAATTACCAAACACAATTTTGAGGGTTTTCTCCGCGTTTGTTTCGCCACGATTACAATCAATCACTTTTGGAAAATATTGTTTTTCGGTACGTGATTCTTTCGAGGTGATTGCCACATGAACTCGCTAATTGCCACCACATCACTCCTCCCCGGCGGCAGTCAGTCGGACACAATCTCAGCCCGAAAACGACAACAATCCCAAACGCATGACACACTATTTGAAACAATTCCCGACTGACACTACTATGGCGGCACTACTATATACCTCTCTCTATATAGCAAGACCAAACTGATTAAGATCACGAGGCCCCACCCGACTGGAATAAGGGCTCTCCTCCACCTTTGCTGGAAACGATCTTCAAGTTAACGATTGACTCCGACTGGGCATGCGAATGCGACTGCGACTGGAGCAGCGACTGAAAGCGGCGACAGGTTTGTTTTAGCCAAGTTTTATTTGGATTGTTTACTTTCCGTTTGTACATATAACCGTAATATATATAAGTGGAGCCCAGAGGGGTATTATAGTGAATTTTTGTTTGCCCATTTCGTTATTGCGGCTCGCTATATAAGCCTTTTGTTGCTTTGATAAGAGCTCCATTCGCGGACATTGATAAATATATATATATATATATATATCTGTATCTGTATCCGTATCTGTATCTGTATAAGTTTCTGTATATATAAGGAAAACGATGAAGCGCGGCAACGAATTTCGCAGATAAGTGTCAAGACAATTTCCGCGGTTATATCACATCTTCGAATGGTTTTTGTAATCTTATATGTGTCAATTCTTTGGCATAATATTATTTATACAATTTATAATTTGGTTTTTTGTTTGTTTATTTTTTTAGATTTTATGTGCGTTGCTGGCGAGTAACCGAAATGGAACTGGCCGCAATTGCGGACTGGCTGGGTCCGAGCTTCGCTGCTGGTCACGCAACAATGGGGCCATGCAAATCCCCCAAGAGAGGGTACAAATAGACGGAAAGCCCAGCCCCTAATGGATTCATATTCTTGGCTTTATGCCACTGACACTGCCACTGCCACTGCAGCTGTGGAATGCTTCGCCTGCCGCCAGTCACATGTACGAGACGACTAATGAATGACCCAAAAGAAATGGCCCAAAGAAAATATCTGAAATCGATTGACCCCGCCATTGGCCATGCAAAAGCCTACGGCAATTAATTGGCATTAATCAAATTAATTATGAAATATCCGATAAGATTGCGGCTCCACTCTGTAGGCTGCTCCACACGCGTGTAGGAAAGCGAAACAAACCTGGACTGAGGAACGGATCGGAACGGGTCTTTGCTCTAGGGCTACATTCGAATGTTGCATACCCTAGAAGTACTTAAAGGGATTACCATGAGAACTGCAACCGATGGATACCTTTTTATCGTAAGTCGAATATTCAGAAATACAGTTGACAACCAATTAGATTGGTTCACAATTTCGTTCTGGTGGAACTTTCACAGCCCATTAGTGGTTCGTTCTTCAAACGGCAAACTCATTTCACTGCCACTCGAACTCGTAATAGTTGCATGGAAATCGTTTCGTTGATGGTTAACTCTGTGGCCAGAAGCTGACCTAGCGTCAGAGTCGGTTTCTCTTTGGCAATCGTGGAAACAGATTCCCAGAAAAGCTTTCAAGATTCCGCCCAAGTGCTCACTGAATGCGAGTTCTTGCTGAAAGATTCACTGACTACGCCTGAGATATTGTCATTATTTTCATTTTGAGGTCGCATGCAAATTTGCATAAATTGATATCCGTTGCTTCCAGCCTGCTTGCCAGGCCTGCTTGCAACAAATGGTCGAAGATTGTGGGCAACGAGCCAGTCACTCACTCGGAGCGCACCCAAGCTGAGTCGAGCCGAGCCCCAGCTCGACTGCAGCTGCTTCCGTTCTGGGTCTGTCCCCATACCCATACCCATACCCATACCCATACCCATACTCACCTTAATCTATCGCGCAGCAGCCTGTGGGTGGAGTGGTCCCGCTGCAGCACCTGGAGGATGCGCTGGCACTGCTGCAGCCGCTGCCGTCGTCTCAGCGTCGGCGTCTCCACCTCCCCCTCCAGCACGGCTATGCCACTGTCCACACTGCCGTTCAACTGCCGCTGGACTGCTGCAGGACTGCTCTCCGAGCTGTTGCTTTCTGGCGATTCACCTGCCATTTGGCGACGCTTTCTTCTTGCTGTTGTTGTTGTTTATTTGTGGTACGGGACGATCCCCCTTTGATTTTATCGCGCTTTTCACAGGCACTAAGCCATTTCCGCACTCACGCTACACGCACTCTCATGGAATGGTATGGGATGCACTGGAATCGTATCTCATTCTTCGCAATTGTCGCGCACATGAAACACTTTTGCCCAAAACAAATTCGTTTCGTTTCGTTTGTTATTTTTGAAGTGGCTTTTTGTTTTTCGTTTAGCTGTTTTTGTTTTTGTTTTTGTTATTGTTTTTTTGTTGGGTTAATTACGCGCCAGATGCCGCCATTGTTTTGCCCCTGGGACCACCGGTCCCCAACTGCCTTTGACTTGGGCTCCAAAACAAGAAAACGTTGCTTATGGAGCAGCTTATCAGGTCGTGCCGAGATACACAAATTGCCATCAGTGCTAGAGGTGCGGGGGGAGCGCCTGTGTGTGCCTGGCAGCGCTCGTTTTCGTACTGCATTCAAAGGAATTTCGTTTTATTTTTACGGCGAGAAACCCATAAACAAATTCCAGCTGAAGATAACGAACTTCTCGCGCCCAGATAACCAGATTCTCCAAAGCCACAGCCAGAGCCAGAGCTCTGGGCCGGCCCATCATCCCCAATGCAAATAACCTGACGTCACTGTTTGTGTTGGCTGTGAGTTGCTCTGGGACATATTATCTCTCTGCTACCTTCAAAGTCCGTGCTGAATGCAACTGCACCCAGTAAGAAATAGTCCAAATATGTAAATTGCCGGCACCTGAATGGGGCACGTAGTTGGGCCAATTAATTTTGAAACTACATACTTTGAGTACACCGAATTGGGCCACGTGATAGCGAGGGAGAGAGCGATAGTGACTCCAAACGGCACTGAGGAATTCGATAAGCGAAACTCACCGCGACTAAAGCTCATTCATGGATGATTTCTTGGCATATGGATTGAGTGGCGTGGCCTAACATTCGTCTTCGACAGCATCTTCTATCAACTCCACCTGACAACTGTGTGTTGTGTTTTGTGTGAAATTATTTGGCAAAGACCCGAGGCAAAAATCCCACATAATTCGAAAAGAGAAATTCTTGGGCAGCTCCAGTCAAGCTCGGGATTGTTGGCCACTTAAATGGATGACATGAAACGCTGACTGTGGACATTCAGACAAACAGACAGACAGACAAACAGACCGGACCGAGCCGAACCGAACCGAAAAACAAGATGATTACGATTCCGTATCGCATTTCGGCTCAGCTGACAGCGGCGCACTTGTTGTTCGGTGTCGTCCAGCAGCAGCAGCAGACACCAGGCAGCAAAAGGCAGGCAAAAGTGGTCTTGGTCATAGAAATTTCGTTGTGGAGAAAACGACAAATGTTGAAATTCTCTGAATGGGATTTGCTGTGGGTTTGGTCGAATGGAGGGGGCATGGAATGGATCATTTTGGTCCGTGCAATAACATGATATGCATTTTTGAAACAATGAAGCAATTAAAAATGCATTTAGCCCGGACAAGTTGCAACACATTTCCAAACCCAAACCCAAACCCAAACCCAATCCAAATCCGTTTTGCATATCATTTTCTGTTGGTTGCAGTTTTGTTGAGGTTGGTAAACATAAATTGATTTTGAATCCAAGTGCATTGCTCAATGTTGCTTCAGTGTTGCCCGTGTGCACCTCCATCTCTCTCTATCTCTGCCTGTCTGTCTGTTTGTGTGTCCGTGGGATAGATTTGTGCAATTTTCACACAATTGTTTGCCGCATTCGCATGGCATGTCGAATTAAGTTGTTACAGTAACTAATCTGCTGACTAATTAAACAACAATTTCAAATGCAATTGGGTCGCCGGCAAATGGGTCACCCCTTCCGGAAGAGAACTACCGCCTTCGCTACGGGGGAGACAGACTCTCAAGGAGTCGCTCAATTAATTATGACTACATTTTTTCCTGTGCAAATATTTTCTACATGATTGATGTGTGTTGTGATGATGGGTGCCACCAGCCACACCACCGAGAGGTGGGCTTGCAGTATCTTCCGAGCTATCAATGTTACTTTTACTAACGGTTTCACGCTCTTTTCCAGCTTCAATTACTGCTGCTGGTGCCACCACCACTACACAAATACACATATATGTACATATACAGACGAGGGGCAGAGCTGCAGGGCGCAGCCGCAACTCAACTGCCGATTCATTGGGAAATTAGTCAAAGCCCATTCCCTGCCAATGATGCGTTGCTTAAAGTTTCTTTTCATATGTTATACTCTTCCAGAGGGTGTTCGGATATTCAGTAAAGGTTTGCAGCGCAGTGCATATTACAATCACCCTTCTCCGATCATCCAATCAAAATGTGATGATCGATACGGCAGAGTATTGCAAACTTCGGCCCTGAGTCTTCATCGTTGTGTTTCCATTCACCCCCTTTTCACCTCTCGGAATTCCCACTGCGCCGCTGCAGTAGCAGCAGCAGCAGCAGCAGCAGCAGCAGAAAAACACAAACAATCTGCTTAAACGAACGGAAGTTGGAAGTTGGCCCCCCACCCCATAGACGCCAGTCGCTGCTTTAATACTGTTAACCGATGCTGACCGATTGGTTTTGGTTATGTGTCTTTCTTTCTTCCTCCGGCTTCCTCCTGCTTCCCATCCTCTTGTTCGCTGTTACTTGGCTTTTGTTCGTTTTCAATTTACGGGTGAAATGGCTTTTTTCTCTGTAAAAGTTGTTTTCACAGCCACGGCTAACAAGAAAATAATGTGAAAAAGTCCAAACACACTCAAAAATCAATGGAAACGATTGAGTTCCAGCGGAAGTGCACGAGTTGAGCAAACTGTTTGCCATTTCTCGCACTCATGGACAGGTCTGACTCCAGTCTACATATGTATCTATGTACATATGTTCCCGGTGCTCGTTTTTGCTGCTGTGCAAAGGTTTTCAATGCTACGAAAACGGCATTTTCGACTGACATTGACACCTGTCCGTCCGTCCGTCCACCCTTTCAGCCGTCACCCAAGCCACCGAAGCCCTCTACCTCCACCTCTGAGCTAGCGCATGAGTCGCATGTTTCTCTTGCCGCTTTGGGCATATGGCACGCTCCAGTGACCCACTAGGAGTGCACGGCGATCACAGCACAAAACACACACACTGACACAGGCACAGAACACACAACACAGTTTTAGTTGTTGGTTTTGGGACAAGGCTTTGCTTAACTGCTTGCCCTATGGCTGCTGCCTGCCCTTCACAGTTTTCGCTTCAACGACTACGATGTTGATGTTGATGTTGATGCTGCTGCGCTGGCCGCTTCGTAAGCTTATCGGTAGCGCTACGCGACACTCTGTCGGTACATACTCGCACTTGATACAAAAGAGTTGCAGTTGTTTTATCAAAGCGCACCACGCGACGCAAAGGTTGAATCGCGAATGCCGTGAGTCTCTAGACTCTAGAGCCGGAGCCGCAGCCGCAGCCCCAGGTATGAGTCGAGCTTTGCTCTCTCTCACTCTCTCTCTCTCTCTCTCTCTCTTCCAGCCGTTATCTTTCTCTCTGTGTGTGGGGACTGCTCTCTCTATCTCTCCATTGTTGTTGTTCAACAGCTGGCAAGGTAAGCGAACAGAAATTTAGCGGCAAACTTTTGTTCTGTGTTGGCACTCTGTGTACTGCCAGAAGTTAGGGGTAAAACACGTTCAGGGGTAGGGATTGCGTTGCCAAACCAGTTCCGTTCCCCGTACAAGTTCAAATTGAGTGCTGGCTTAAAGCCTATGGGCTTAGGGCATGAAGAGTGCGACTATTTTCGCATTTGCATAGCTCCAATTCTTGTCACAAGTACTTATCTACTTTCTTCCACTTTGTTTCTTCTTTTGCCAGCGCTCTCTCTCTCCCTCTCTCACTCTCTGGCTTCCTCTTTGAAACTTTTCAACTTAGCGCGTTGTGTGCTAAAACGTTAATTTGTATGCATAAGGAAGCAATTGAAGATGGGAGTTGAGATGGCACAGCAGAGAGAAGAGAAGTGACTGTAGGGGATAGGGCAGTGGAATCGGGAGACTGACCACTCCACTGGCAGGCGTAGCTGACTGGGGATATTCGGTTACACAAGTTCAGTTAGCAAGAAGCCTCACTCGAAAGTAGTGACAGCGATAATAGACAAGCTATAAATAGTTTATGATCCGGCCAGGCATTGCGGTAAATACCCTACTGTTCATCCACATATGCGGGCCAACAGGGAGAGAAAGAGAGAGATCGTAGCCGGAATTTGTTTATTGCCTTGCTTTGACCCAGCACAGAGCCGCGCTGCCGCGCTGCCGCGCCGCCTGCTGGTTTGGCTTGGAGTAGGAAGCGTTTAACTACCTTTGAAAGAAATCCGATATGAGTCGATGTACATACATATGTATGTACATACATACATGCCCCAGACAGAGCTTTGTCGGAGTTTGTGTTTTCTTCGTTTTCTTTTCGTTTACATACGTACGCTTCCTCCACTCCCTCCCTCTATAGCATATTGCACCTGATACACTCACTCGACTCGAACGCGTTAGTAGAGGAAAACAGAACTTAGTTCTACTTATAGCTTGGGCATCTCAATAGTAAAGTACATGCATCTTTCTTTAAAACTATCATTCTGATTCGATATCATAAGCTTTCTTCGACGCAATGATTACCTTTTTGTTTTTGTTTTTGTTTTGACTTCGTTCAGCGTTCAGCAAAGAATCTTCAATGAAGTAAATGAATTGAGGGAAAGAAGAGAGTGAATTCTCACATACGTATGTATGTATATATGTGTGTATAAGTCGCTTTTGTTTATGGCCGAAACGTGGGACAGATCTCCCCAATCAAAGAGTTGCCATTGAGGGCCAATAAAATACGCTGGCGCCCCGAATATTGGACGGTGAAAGCATTTCATCAACCGACCCGCCACTTTCGATGAGCAGACAATTTCGATTAGTTCGTTGGCATAAATCAAATGATTGGCTTAAGATTGGCCTAATTCCCGTCATGAGAATAAACTTGATGCGCGAAAATGTTGAAATCTGTGTATTTATTTGTATCAAGCCGGATAGGGTCTCATCCACATACTCCAAGAATTAAAACGGGTAGCCAGTACCCCCGAAACAATCGATCGATGGCTCCCCAGTCAGCTCGTAAATAGCCGCAACAAGTGGCTCCGGAACTTCGGACACGGAGCCGACCGGGGCCGACCATTAACTGTCGTTAAATATCAAATTCAAATCCAAATCGAAATTATCAGATTAACTGATTAATTTAAATTTAAGCAGCATAGCATCGAGGGTAGGTGAGCGGCGAGGAGGAAAGGCTAATGCAACGAATTAATTTATTTTCAGTTGTACCGTTTATTTAAGGTTCTTCGCGAAGGAAGAAGGCTGGTTTGTTTGTACCTGCGCACTGGCCTGGGAGAGGAGAGCTGTGCATCATCATCCACAGCATCCAACACAATGGCGGGGTGTGGAACCCAAGCCTGGCGTATAAAACGGACAGAATCAATGGCATTTGCTGTACTCTTTCGAAGGGTTGGCAGCGAGCGAAGCGACGCAGAGGAGCAGCTGAAACAAAACGAGGGAACGAACGCTTTGCAGTTGGCGAGTCCTGTGCAAACAAACACTTAGACCGTGAATACCAAGTACACGTGGGTTAATCCTGAAAGTTGTGGCACGTCGAAACGAGTCCAAGTGCTGTGAAATGTTCTTATCCTAATCCTGTTCCTTTCCCCATCCTCGTCCTCATCCCGAGCAGCATTATAATACGAATTCCGTTTCACCTTTTGTTTCCATTCAAAAACTGAAACGTCCCACAAACGCACACAAGGCGCAACACGCGTTTCAGCGCGCAGACGGAAGATCCTGGCGATCCTGGAAGATCCCTGAACGGAGTGACAAAGTGCCGAAGGGTAAGTGCTAGTGTTTTCGACTCATTTGATTGCAATTAAAAGGAATTGCTTTAATTGCGAGCTGCCAAGTGCTGGAATGAGTGCGTCCGAGTAGGGAGGTCACTCTGATTGTGTGTTGCAGCCTTTCACACGTACTCGTATGCCCCTAGATGGTCTGGCGGCATCAACAAGCTGCAACCGCATCAGGCTGAGCGGGGCAGAGACGTGAACGTGTTAGAGAAATAAACAAAACACACACTTTAAGTGAAACTAAAATCCATAAATTGATTTTTCCGCATGCACAAAAGGTTTGCCCAGATCCGCATCCAGGTGTCTCCGGTTTTTATTTGCGCCCAAGCAAGGCATTACCAAATCCGAGTCCAAAGCAAAGCTAGACAATGCCAAAACACAGACACAGCCAGCCAGAGGTGTTTTCTTTCTCTCTTGCTCTCCGCCACCCAGAATCTCTCTCACTCTCCTGCTTCCTTGTGCGGGGTTGCCGTTCCGTGCAGCTGCCACGCCACTCGCCGCCCGAGTCCAAAGCTCCACACCACACCAACCGACGGCAGAGATGTGTGCGAGAGCAGCGTTGAATGTATCCGTGTCGTGTCTGGCTCTTCCAAGTGTTTATGTGGGCCCGTCTGTGAGCGTGTGACGCAATGTTTGGAGGTTTTTGAACTGAAGCACTCTCTCACACACACATACATCCAAGCGAAAGCGTCAAGGCATTGGAATGCTGAAACGCCTCGAAGCGTGGAAGGTCCTCAATCAGCACTGAAGTCCGTATTGCCCAGGGGCAATCAGGCAGAACCTGAAGGGACAATTTCAATTTGAGTTTGAGATATTCAGGTATTTAGCCTTTGAACTGAAGACTTTTCTCTTTCATTGATTAATCTGACGATACCTTCTCTTCGATACCAATTCCACTCTGACTAAAAATCGGTGACTCCAACTTGCAAACTGTTAAAATAAAAAAGAGTTACGACTTTAATTCGAAAATTAAGAACATGGTCTAAGTGGATAAGCCTCGAAAAACTGCATTTTGGAGATTATTATATGGTCAACTGGTCTCGCTGACACCTAAATATGTTTGAATATTTGTAAGGGATTCTGCAGCGAATCATATTGGATGGTCTATGAAACAAACCGATGCTCTTTAATAGCCAATAGATTTCTAATAGATCCGTAAAACTTGTATACCTTTAGGAAATCCTCAAACTAAGCATCAAACTAAGCATCCTCAAACTTGCAGAATATTCTGAGATAAACTGCCATTGAAGCCCCAAGCATTTCCATTGAATGCCACACATAAATTGAATTTATAACTCACCACAATTTGATTTCGATTAGGTCAATTGGCACCTTTTTGAGGGGCATGGCACACAGATACTATAATGAAGGCAACCAAAGTGTGGGCGAAACTTTTCGACACGCAATTGAGTCCACAAGAGCTGCGGTACAAACGCAGTCATGCAATTATAATGGACAAATGGCAACGGAGAACACTGGCACTGCGACTGGGACTCAGACTGAGACTGAGACTGAGACTAGGGCTGGGGCTGGGGTCACCGTTATTGATTGGGTTGGCGAGAAAGTAGGGCACTTCCTGGTGGCAGCACAAATGAATTCTAAACTACCCATTTTACCACAAAATGCACTTTCAGAGAATGCTCTCATTAGCAGCATTAATTATGACAAGCCAGAGACTTCGATTCCATACCAAATCCAAACTTGAGCCCCGCATTCATCATAAGTCTCGGCCGTAAATTAACGAGCGAAACATAAATAGCAAAGGAAACATAAACCTTTCGCTGGGGAAAAGAACGAATGGATGACAGTAAACTGCACAAATGCCAAATGCAGAGTGAAAAATGAGCCAAGAGAGGAAATCGGCGACGAAAAAAAGGGTAAAAGTTAATTGCAAATGTCCAATTAGGGAGTTGACATGGCCATGGCGGCTGTCCGGAAGCGGAAGCAGTCTTTGATGCATTTAAAAACGCATCTGAACCTGCACACTTATCTCAGATTCGGCCAACTGGCACTGCCTCTGCTGCGGTGGCGAAAATTGCATAATCGTGGCGGCGTGACACCCCCCTTTGAAGCCGCAGCATGTGACGCAGGCAGAAAAAAGGGTCCAAGAACTGCGCCAGCATCTGCGGCTGCTGCAGCAAAAACTTTTCCGCTGATAACACGACTTTTCCTCAAGGAGCCAAACCAACTTTTTCTGAAAGGGGACTTAGAAAATGGTCCGCCGAACTGCCAGAGTATTTCTGGTTTCAGTATTCAAAACATATTGAAAAAATATTAAAATTGAAAAAAATTAGGTAGGTTTAATACCTCAAACAACGCCAAATTCATGAACCTTCACACAAAAAAAAGAAAGGTTACTTACTGGATATCATTTTGGCTTTACTTTTCCCGAGTTTCAAAAATCATAATTTTTGAATTTGAAAGCTTAAATTTCCCAGACAGTAAGATAAAACCATATAGTTTTGGGGTAAACTTTATAGAAGAACCTATCAGAATTTTAGAATGG